TGTAGTTACATGTATAATAGTAATATAAGACTATATATATGAATGGACGAAGAGTTACTTAATTTGTATATCCGAAACTTAATCCAATATAGTAGTACTATAGTATTTTTTTTTTGCTGGATTACTAACCAACAGATCGAGTTAAGAGCTCAACAACGATCGGTATTGATCTCAAATGATTATTTTTGACAGCAAATATTTTTGTGTCGAATCTTGTTTGGAGATAAATGATAATAGTATTTTTTTTAGTAAGTAATTAGTGGCTTATTTAATGGTGTGTGTATAAATTGACAAGTTCACATGTTGCCACAATGTTACATCATCATATACAAAATTAGAGTGAGTATTTGTGTTTTGTTTTTTAAATGAATAAATATGTTGGGAAAATTTGTATTTTGTTGTTGTTTGAATGAATAAATATGTTATACGACTTGGTTAATCTTATGACTTATTTAAACGAGATATTTTTACGTCATCAATTCATATATATACAATCAGAAAATTCCAGTCTATCAGTGTTGACATAGTGTACGTTCACATCTTGGTACGAATAAATATTAGATTGTGTAATATAGTATATGTTTTGTTTTTTTGGAGCTTTGTGTGAATTCAAAACATAATTAAAATGGAATAAATTTCTAAAGTCAGTTTCATACTTTCATATTCAACGTCAAAATAGTCGAATAAAATCAAACATATAAATTTCCATCTACAGCTTAACAAAGGAGTCCTATAAATATAATGATGGGTCACACATGAGAGTTACATATATAATTAACTCAGCAAGGACCATTTCATTGGCTAATTAAATAACCAACACCTTTAGATAATTAATTTAACAAGGACATATATAATTAAATACCACAATTGTTAAATATATAAGAAGAAAAATATATGTAAATCGATATGATTCATTAGAGATAAAAAGATTACATATTCACTAAACCTTCTCAATCATTTTGCCCAAAATGTTAAACTATAGTGATAGAAAAATAATACATATCGGGAAATCGTGGTTTATAATATGTCGATTTTATTAGGGATGTTAGGCTGTTAAGATAGATCTCACTGAGATCAAATTAATGGAGAGCCTATAAGCTAAGTGTAATTAAGTACGTGTCTACATGTATACATGTTCTATATACACAAGATATGATGGAAAGATTTTCTCAACCCACTCCATTAGAATATGGGGACGTCCAGCTTGGTTAGGCCACTTTTTAAAGATTTTAATTCGTAGATTTTTTCAGTGTTAATCAAAATTGAAAGATCCAACGAGACTCACGTGATCCGAGTGTTTATCGATCGACGTGATTGATTTAACTTGGTTTACAAGGAATTGTACGACCTTCATGAGAAAGGTCTTCTTCTTCTTCTTCGTGGCTTTCCAAGTGAAAGAAAAGGTTATATTACGAGTGACGATTAATTTTGGTAAGCCAATAGAACTTTTCTTCACAAAATTGAATATAAAATATCGAAAACGCGAAATTAATTAACTAAAATCAATGGTGTGTTGCATCCAAAAAAAAAAATGAATGGTGTGTTAGGCCGATGATTTAAAATTAGATCATATTTCTGAATTCGATTCTTGATAAAAAAAATTACTTTACACCATGGTTATAATAGTAAGATCTGGCTGTGGACTATGAAGAAGATTGAGAGGTCTAGGCTTAAAAACATCTCTTCATTAACAATAATACAATATATTAGTAATCAACTAGCAAAGATTATATCTACTTGTTTAGGTGAGATTACACTTAAAAACACTTTATCCTTTTTCTACATAATCATTCACTATTTTATTAGTCAATCTGTTTTAGCACCTAGTGATTTGCCTAATTATGGCTCTCTTATCAACCAATAGGTTATAGAAACCAATCATATTACCCAAACAATGCAGAAGGTTGAAGTGCATTGTTGTTGAAATGAGCTCAATCGTCGTATTATGCTTTTCTTTTTTTTGTTTCACCGACAAGTAGCACGACGAGACAGTATTATTTAAGGCTATAATGCCATTTTAGGTACAGAGATGTGTCATTACATTTTGTCTTTTTGTTTTTAGTTGAAATTTAAACTAATCTCTTTATATATATCTCATATCTGCTAAAGTTGTCTCTTCTTTCTTGGAAACTCTTAGATTATCAGCTTTGGATCTTATGTGAGTGTCATGTGACACATTCATCTTTATCTTATCCAAAGGCAAATTATACTTTATAAAAAAAATACAAAACTAAACTTTTCTATTGCTTAATAGATTTATAGACTATATGTTGCCAAAGTTTGCTTTATATCTGAATATGCAAATTAACATTATAATAGCAAAACTACACAAATCTTTTTTTGTTTTGTAGTGTCATATGTGAAACATAAATATTGGCTTATTATCACAAAAACGGCTACCTTTCCAATGACTTGTTCACATGCACCTACCATGTGAGAGTGAGGAGACCCATTACTTACAATTTTATTAGCACAACTTATTGATTTCTCAAAGTTATAAAATTGCATTTTATTAAAAAACAATTATGAAGGCAACTGACTATGAGACTTAGATAGATCTAAGTCTCTTTAGTAATTTCTTCAGTCTCCAGACTTAGTTTGATTCTGATGCTCTAGTAGATACATCTCGGCTAAGGCAGCAAACACTGCTGATCCAACGGGAAGAACATTCTCGTCGAGGAAGAAATAAGGCGAATGAACGCTATGTACAGAACCGATTTCTTCGTTTTTGATTCCGATTGCTAGATAGTAACCGGGTATTTTCTGTTGATAAAAGGCAAAATCCTCACCCGCCATTACCTTTTCACCCGGTTTCACCTTCTCGGGTCCAATCACTAGTTTCAAAACCTTTTCAGTGTATTCGTGTAGCTTGTGATCGTTCACTGTTGCTGGATACATAGGATGGCTTTCTTCATGCATGTCTATATCCGCTTTGCATCTATGTACTTCAGCTTCTCCTTCAACCACCTGTCAGCAACAATCGCGTTAGCTCAGACTTATAAAGCAAGCTGAACATCACTTTCACTTGAACATTCGTGATTTTTGTGGATCGTTGAAGAGAGCTTGTAGAGATATAGCAATGATTTGTTCCATGAAACTTTTACTAGAACAGAGTAAAAACAAGCGACTCAGGATTCAGGAATCAAAATCACTAACATAACTCTTTTGAACAAGTATCTTATTGATCACTAGGGAAAAGATTTAAGATCCATAAGGTATTGGAAACAAAAATCTGCTTTCTTCTCTGCATAGACTATTCAAAGATTGTTTCGAAACAGCGTATACGTACCTCTTTCAACCTCTGTATCAACAAGTTCATGCCATCAGTTGTAAGACTCCTCATAGTTCCCCCAAATTCTACATACGTTGGAGTCACATCAAACTCAGAAGCGTCGCTTTTCATAAATGTAACAGACAGCACCTAAAACCAAAAACAGAAACCTTTAGAGTCAGAAGACTTAGGTTTAGTCTTGCAAATAGTGATATCCATATGCCTAAACGATCGTTAAATTTATCGATTGGGAAAGTATACAACATACATTGCTTGAGAGAGGATCTACTTCTCTGGAGATTATAAGTTGTAATGCTAAGATGGTAGATGATGCAGCCAGCACCGGATCAACACAAGAATGGGTCTCCGAAGAAGAAGCCAGTACTTTCCCACTTATTCTAACACTGAAAATGCTTGTGGCTGCCAAAGCAGGACCCGAGATTGTTTCTACTTCTCCTGTAGGTAAGTCAGTATGTACATGCATCCCAAATATTGCTTCTGACTCACCCAAAGCACCGTCTTTTATCATGTAAAAAGCACCGGCACCTCCTTCTTCTGCTGGTTGAAAAAGAAGCCTCACTGTTCCCTTTTAATTAAGCAAACAAAGATAAATTCTCAATCACAACAAAAACCTAAAGACATAATAAAAGATTAAACCTTTTCTATAACCAAAGCAAACACAGATACAGCCACAAAATAATCCAAATCAAACTAAAACAATGCAAGAAGACTACAGAGGATGCAAAAGATTCATCCTTTTTGCGTTTGCTAAGCTAATCCAACAAATTCACAACAAATTTACTTTAACCAAGCTAGATAATAAAGAAGAGAAAGGCTTACATTAAGCATATGTTTGCGTTTGCTAAGCAATTTAGCAGCACCAAGAAGCATAGTAGTGTGAGAATCATGCCCACAAGCATGCATTTTGCCATCAACTTTGCTCTTATGATCCCACTCAACAAGTTCCTGAACCGCACCAACTTCGAATTTTACAAAACTTTGAAGAAATCAAAACAGACAATTAAGAGAGAAAGAGAGAAGATCGAGTTTACTTGCATAGGAAGAGCATCCATATCAGCTCGGAGAGCAACAACGGGAGGAGAACCGGATCCGATTTGAGCTACAATACCCGTTTTGGCAACCGGGTAAGAATACGAAACCCCTAATTCGTCAAGCTCGCGACGAATCAGAGCACTGGTTTTGTGTAACTCGAAAAGGAGTTCTGGGTTTTCATGGATCTGTCTCCTCACAGAGACTAACCAATCTTTATCACCCAAAGCTTCTGAAAGATACTGACTTGGATACTCTTGATCTCCGTTGACAGAACTAGAGATAACAAGGAGAAGAAGTAGCAGTAGAAGTAGAGGCGTTGAATTCGAAATCGAGAAATTAACCATTTCAAAATTTGTGGTCAACGGAACCCTAAAATGCTCCGATCAGATCAGAATTGATTCTGAAGTTAGCCACTCGGTGATAAAGTGAAGTACCACCATTGCTTTGAAGTTGCTCTATTAACATTAAAGCTCGAAACTTGTTCCTCCCCTTTTTTTTTTATTCCTCTTTTTTGGCGGCACTACTAATCACAGTATAGTATAAAATCTTCTTGCTATTTTGTAAAGATTAATCGATTCTAGTAGATTTGATCAAATACTTTATGAACTCTGGAGTAACAATACTTAAGTATAGAAATAGAAATGCAAAAGAAAAGAATGAAGAAAGAAAAAGAAAAAAACAAAAAAAGAGTGGCAAAAGCTGCTTCTTAAATCTCTACTACGTTTGTTTTATACATGAAGCTTCATATTTTAGTTTACAGGTTTGTACAGCGTATAAAATTTATAGGACCTCTGTTGTCCCCTTTCTCTCTTTGTCCACCAAGACAGGAACCGCAAAAGTAAGAGTATTGAAGCCGAACCAATGGAGTGCTCTATAAGGGGACACAAAAACTCAGAGGTCTTTTCTAAATGGGAGAAGCTAAATATGTTGTTTGAGTGTGTTTTGTCATGAAACCAACTGAGAGCAAGGCATTCTTATGGGAGAGAATACCACGGTTAGCCTTGCGTGATCTGATAGTGAGTAGTTTTCTGGCCACACTCCTTTTTCAACTTCAGGAGGAAACAAAACTGCGTTCTTGACACTGAATCCGACGGTTTGTTCCCGGTTTCCCTTTGCTTCTCCATCCGCTGCATCTCTCTGTTCTGACCAGGTTTGATTCCATATTCTTTGCTGCAGAGAGTTAAATATTCCAAGGGAATGAAAATGTTTAGCTACTAATTGGCATTACCAGACTAAAGTTATTAAGATCTAGATGTTCAGGGATGTTCTGTAACTCAAACTACTACTAGAATCTACACTAAGACTTGTAATGAACAAGTTTTTGACAGAGAGGGTTCTAATGAAAAAACGTTACCTGAAACTCCTTGTAATCTACAATACCATTTCCATCAATGTCAGCTTGAATCCACAAATCTTTAATTTCTTTTGTCGTGAGTCCATTGCAATGACCTGTTAAATTGAGCTGTATAGAGAAAGAGAAAAATTAAGTGAATATTCAGCTGAATAACGCAGTCATGGGAATATGATTAATTGCATTACAGATTATGTACCTGCCGAAGAGTCTCACAGAAACCCAGGAATGTAATGTGGTCACCATCATTATCGGTTTTCAAAAAGGCAAAAGCATCTTCAGCTGTTAGTGAGGCTCTTCTCAGTAAATACTGCAAAATCAAAATGCTCTGATGTTACAGGGAGAAAGCCAGAAAACTATACTGTTTCCAGGAATCATTTTGGACAAGCATTGCATAGCCAGCTTATAAAGTCAAACCAGTTTCAGGATCAACAAATAAATCATTTTGGATATAAAAGAAGATGTATATCAATAAAGAAGTGAAATGCACCAAGAGATGAACACTTGTGATAAGACAATTGAGGAGAGTCTCACCCTGAACATGCCAAACACTGCCTCGCTCCAACTTGTTTTTAACAGCTTTCTATACCGATTTGGATTTAGAAGCCATATGAAATCAACAGCGCATATATTACCCCGGTGATTCCGGTGGCTTACCCACTGTCAAACCAAAGATAACAACAGTTTCAGAATCCCGATCGCCAATTTAAAACATCGAAAAAATCTACAGCATACCCAAAAGTATTCTCCATATGAAGAAAGACAGTGACCTTGTGAGCATCTGAATCTGTATACCGATGAGCAGTGTCGTAAGAAGACACAAAACCCTGTGACCTGAGAAACTTGTAGACATGTCCTCGCTTACTTCCGTTCCAATCTCTGCCACAAAGACAAAAACAGAGAAAAGCAGAGGACCTTTTAGCATTGTTCATCATATCTATTATCTAATGATCCATTGAAAATGTAAAAAAATCCAGACAAGGTAGTTAGTTACCCGCAAAGTATAATAGGCATAGGACTGAGATTAACTTCCTTCTGATAAGATTCTACATACTGAAGAATCTTATATACCTATCAAAACCAAAAAAAAACTTGTTTAGAAAGATGCAAATCATCACACAAATGATACTAGAGTTAATAAATACATAAGCTAAAAACAGCATTTACCTGTTGCAATCTTACTATAGACAATGTAGAATCATGAGGAAACAGCAAATGAGTATTGACAATCAAAACTTCTTGATGAGCATCATACTGAGAATAAGGAGGAACTAATTCTACGTGTAGCAACTGCGCAACTCGATCACCACAGTCGTTAAAAAGCAAATCCCTCGAGTTCACAACTCTGAAATAGTCCTTATGAACAGCCGTAAACAAACCTACCACCAATGAAAACACAAATGAAACACCACAAACCAAAACCAAGAAAATTCACACAGACAAAAAAAATGTAGAAGCTTATTATACCATCGCCACGGTTATTAGTACGGCCAAGCTTGTAACTGAGATAACCAGCGTCACCAAGTCTCTTCTCATACATGTTAACAAGCTCTTCGTTCCCTACCCAAAACTCCTAATAAAAAGAACCAAAGCATAAAAAAAAATCAGAAACACACAGAACCAAAAACAGAACATGATTGTTATATTATCTCATAGAGGCAAATCGTCGAACAACCTGTAAACAAATGATGGAAGACCTCTCATACAATAACCAATCAATGATTCTATGATTCCTTGCAAGCCAATACCCTCGATTATCACTTTCACGAAGACTTTGATCCTACATTTTCCCCACACAAAAACAAAAAATTCATATAAAAAAATCACACCCAACAAAAAAAGTTTCAAACTTTACGAAGAAGAGAAAAAAAGGAGAAACCTTGGGAGAGAGACGTTTATAGATGGGAGCAAGGATATTGAAAGTAGTACAAGAAATACAAGGTTGCTGATGCTGGTCTCTTATGGAAGACGATATTGCATAGCTTCCTATTTTTGATATTCTCCCCTTCATTATATCTCTTTAACCGCCGGCAAGAATAATTAAAAAAAATACAAAAAATCTCCGGCGGTAAAAAAATCAAAAAAAGGAGAGAAGAAAAAAAAACACACAGAGAAAGGAAGAAGATGAAGACGACGATGATGAAGAAGACGATTCTCTTAGAAACGTCGTGACCGCTCTTTTTCGATTTATGATTACAACCGAAATTAAAATAAAAATTTGAAAAACCCCAAAATTAGAAAGAGTTTTTAGCGATTGAGTTTGTGAAGGCTATTTTAGTTTTGTAGAAAAAGCTTTGTTCGTTCAAGAACGTGCGTGTGCATGTGTTTAGTGATATTATGTGTTTATGGTGGTGAAGCACTTTGTTATATATATATTGTATGGTTCGAATTTATTTAAAATCTTTGTTATATAGAAAGAATGGTATTTTATTTCCTTTATTTGTTCGTCCATATATAATGGGAAAATGAATATACATATATTAGCTTTCGATTGACGCACACGATACGAATACGATGGGCGGGGGCCATGTTTTTGTTCCTTTCGGCCCTCTTTCATGAAATTGATGAGATACGATTTTTCTTATAATTAGTGTTTTATGGTAAAGTCTTTATTTAGTTTATGAAAAAAGGAAGAAACAATGCATGGACATAATTATGTGTTTTTAGACGTTCTTGTCGATATCTTTAAGGATTTTGTTTTTCTGATTGGTGACAGGTTTTATGAAAACAGTTTCTTTATCATAGGGATATATTGAGGTTGCAAACATATACTGGTTTAGTGAAGGGATTAAGAGACAGTGACACATTATACATTCGTTAGAAATGTTTTTTAGTGACAACAACTTTAAAGTTTTCAAATGATTTTTTAAACGATACGAATGAAATTAAATGCTAATTAATATTGCTGTATGGTTTACAAATAATGGGAAGTTACGGTAATCAATTAAACGATTGGTTATTCAGAATTTTTATCATTAATGATGTACGTGTTTTACAAGTCTTTAGGTTGGAGTAGATGATGTTAAACTTAGTAGAATGGATGATGTTAAAAACAGTGTGCTTCTGATCTACGAGTTTACGTTTCAAGCACGTAGTATAATATAAACACCCGAACGACTCAATTGAGATTTAGTAGAATATTATTCATGGAAATAAATATGACATTATAATATTTTGGTACGTGTATATATAAGATGTCGTTTAATAAGATTAATAAGGATTTGACGTTAACTAAAGAAAAAATATAAGAAACGAAGAGGAGGTAGAGGAGGGAGAGTGTTCTTCTGGGGTTGAAAGCATCAGCCCTTCTAGTGTAAAAAAGACTGAGGAGAAGCCACCAGATGAAGAAGGGAGTTTCATTAAGGTGCTATCTAAGAGTCAGAAGAAAAAGCTTAGGGCCAAACTCAAAAATGGTCCTCTGCCTGCGGGAAGGTTTTCCTTCCGTCACTAGTTACTATCATTATCACTTTTTGTAATGCTGATGTTTTGTTGGAATGTAAGAGGGATTAATGATCCAGATAAGCAGCAGCGGTTTAGAACTTGGTGCCAGCAACAACGACCATTTTTTGGTTGTCTTTTGGAGACTCACGTTTTGGAGCTCAATGCGCAGTCGGTCTTGAAAAAGATCCTGCCGGGCTGGAGTCTCATCTCAAATTATGAACACTCCCATATAGGGAGAATTTGGGTTGTTTGTAGTCAAGCTGTGAAGATTATGGTCTATAGGAAAACCCGTCAACACATCACGTGCGGTATTTCCTGTCTTGACAAAGATTTAAACTTCACAGTGTCTTTTGTTTATGGAGCTAACCTAAGGCATGAAAGAGGTGCTCTTTGGAATGATCTTGTGGATATGTCATCAAGCACACCCCTAAGAAACTCTCCTTGGCTTGTGCTTGGAGATTTCAATCAAACTCTCCTTCCTGAAGAGCACTCTAGAAGGGAGGACTATGATGTCTACTTGGGAGGCTGTAGAGAACTTCAGAGATGCTTGAATGATTCCGGGCTCATGGACCTGCCTTATCATGGACCTGTTTACACTTGGTGGAATCATCAGCAAAACACTCCAGTTGCTGAGAAACTGGACAGAATGTTGGGGAACGTTGATTGGCTTGCTACTTTCCCTAATGTTACAGCAACATTTGAGGAACCTCTTTTCTCAGACCATGCTTCCTGCTGTATTAGGTTCCAAGAACAAGGGCCAAGGAAAATTAGACCATTTCGGTTCAATCACCACCTAATACAGCATGAAAGTTTTCTTCAAGTGGTACAAGACAGCTGGTTCTCTTCAGATGAGGTTGGTATTCCTATGATGCAGATTAGCAGAAAGCTTAAACGGCTGAAAGGGAAGCTTAGAGAGCTTAATAAATCGGCTTTCTCGGGGATTGAAAACAGAGTGAGAGTGGCTCTAGCAGACCTCAAAGCAGCACAAGCAGAAATGTTTCTGTCACCCTCTCCAGAGATTGCTAATGTTGAACGGAAGGCTTTCTTATCTTGGCAATCCCTCTCTAAGGCTGAAGCAACGTTCTTGCACCAGAAATCAGGCATTAAGTGGATCATGGATGGTGATGAAAACACAAGCTTCTTCCACAAGAGTGTGGTGCTAAAAAACGCTTTCAGTGGAATAAAGCGTCTTAAGCTGGAGGATGGAACGGTCATTACTGATAATGAGTCCATAAAGACTGCTTGTGTTGAGTATTACACATCTCTTTTTGGTACTTCAAGCGCCACTCCTTGCCTCAGAACGTGCATTCAATCAATTCATCCTTTCTGGTGTTCTGAAGAGCAACGAGTTTGCTTAGATAAATGTTTTTCAGCTGCAGAAATTAAAGCAGAATTCTTTGCTCTCCCTAAAGACAAAGCTCCAGGACCAGATGGGTATACAGGAGAATTTTTTAGGCATTGCTGGGAGATTGTTGGTGAAGATATCACTAAGGCAGTCCAGTATTTCTTCACTCATGGAAAAATGGAACCAAGCTGGAACTCTACGGCTATTACTATGATAGCAAAGGTGACTAATGCTGAAGCTGTTTCAGAGTATAGACCAATCTCTTGCCTTAATGCTGTCTATAAGGTAATCTCAAAACTGCTATCAAACAGACTTCAGAATATCCTCCCTGAGATGATACAAGAGAACCAAACTGCCTTCATAAAAGAGAGGCAGATTGTTGAGAATGTCCTGCTGGCTTCGGAGCTCGTCCAAGGGTACAATAATCAAGGTATCTCAAATCGAGGTATGTTAAAGATCGATCTAAGGAAAGCTTTTGACTCCATTGAGTGGAGCTTCATCCTTGATATTTTAGCAGCAACAAACTTCCCAAGTAAGTTTATCCACTGGATCAGTCAATGCATAAAGACATCTAGATTCTCTATTTCTGTCAATGGGGAACTATGTGGATACTTCAAAGGGAAGAAAGGGCTTAGGCAGGGGGATCCCTTATCGCCTTACCTATTTGTGATTGGAATGGATATCTTCTCTCGCCTTCTGGACCTGAGATTTCAAGCTGGACAGATTGGATTTCACCCCAAAGCTACAAACCCTAATGTCACTCACCTTATCTTTGCGGATGACGTGATGTTATTCTTTGATGGAAAAAATTCATCTTTGCAGGCTATTGTGGACCTACTTGAGTATTTTTCTAATATCTCAGGATTGGTTATGAATCGGAATAAAACAGATCTATTCCTTGCTGGTTCTACTGCGTCGGCTCAAGATGCTCTTAGTTCTCGGTATGGTTTCTCCCTTGGAACTCTCCCAGTCAGATACCTTGGCCTTCCCCTATTGCCAAACCCGCTTACAAGAGCTGACTGTGAGCCGCTTTTGCAAAAGATCAGACAAAGGCTTCATTCGTGGCAGAATAGGCACCTTTCTTATGCAGGGAGACTACAGCTACTCACTTCAGTAATCCAAAGCACTATCTCCTACTGGTGCGCAGCCTTCATTCTCCCAGCAAAGTGTATCAAAGACATAGAAAAGCTTTGTAGGAAGTTTTTATGGTCTGGGTCCTCTGAAGTTCCTAAGCAAGCAAAAGTAAGCTGGAAGCAAGTTTGTACTCCAAAATCAGAAGGTGGTCTAGGTCTGAAAGATTTGAAGTCATGGAACAGAATCTTTGGACTTAAACTGGTTTGGCAGCTTTTCTCTACTTCTGGTTCTCTCTGGGTTGCCTGGTGTAGGAAAAAAAAGCTAGGAAGGAAATGTTTTTGGAGACTCCAGCAAAATAGTCAAAGATCTTCAATGTGGAAGCAACTGCTCAAACTTAGAGACATTGCTAAAACTTTCCTCTCTTGCAAAATTGGCGATGGAACTTCGTGCTCCTTCTGGTTTGATAATTGGACACCCTTTGGTGATCTAATTACTTTCTTGGGGCCAGAGGCACATCGACGAATGGGGCTCCCTTTAGACTCAACAGTGGCCAAGGCTCGTTCTACCAATGGATGGATTTTCAGGGGTGCACGCACTAACAATGCTCAGCTCCTCCTTTCCCATCTCGCTGAGATTGATATTCAACCGGATGTTAAAGACATCTACTTATGGGCAAAGCCGAATGGAGAGCCTCAACAGCGCTTCAACTTCTATGACACTTGGGTTCTTTGTAAGGCCCCTTCTCAGGAGGTTAGCTGGCACAAGCAGGTCTGGTTTTCTGGAGCTATCCCAAAATACTCGTTCATAATGTGGTTGTGCTGTCTAGATAGAATGCCAACTCTCTCAAGACTGAGAAATTGGGGAATTGTGGAGGATGACAGGTGTTTCCTTTGTGAAATTTATTTTGAAACAAGGGATCACTTATTCCTTACTTGTCCTTATAGCCACGATTTATGGAGATGGTGCTTGGAAAAAATGAGAATTCCATTCACAAGGCTCACTACTTGGGAACGCCTCCTCATGTGGCTGCGATCGCCTAACTCTGATGAAAAAATGGCTTCTATGAAACTCATCGTCGCTCAAGAAGTGATCTACACCTTATGGCATGAGAGAAATGCGCGCATCTATACCAACATCCGCACTCCGGTTGAAGGTTTGTTCCTCCCTCTTGATAGGAGAATTCGTAACACTTGTCTGGCGAGAATCGACATCCCAAGGCTTCAAGGCTTGCTCGCAATTTGGTTTCGAAATCTCTCTATCTAGCTCTATTTTCTGCTTTCTCATTAAGGTCCTTGTACCGGGTTTGTTCATCCCGTGTTTCGTTATTGCTATGGCACCTATTACCTAAACTATGTAATCGATTATTTATATAAAACCAGAAATTTTATTAAAAAAAAATATAAGAAACGAAGAATAATGTAATGTTGGTTATGCAATTTGGCCGAAAGCTACATAAAGCGACATGAAAATTAACCGACACCTCTAGTTGTCTTTGTTCCTTCATTATTCCCACGAGTCGATTTCTTCACACCTTTTTTCTTTCGAATATAAAATATTCTACTAATTAAAACACATAATCTAACTTTAGTTTATCATTGTGTTCCTTAATCAGCTTTCTATTCTACCAACATTTTTTTTGGATACCACGTGAAATCTTACATCTCATTTCCTTCTACTGTTCCGATTACAAAGAAATATGATTGTTTATTGTTTTTTAGCGTACAAAGTCGAAGAAAATGGTTAGAGAGTTACGTGTTTTCAAAGGTTTTAATAAGAACAAGATATTCTTAATTATTCTCTTCATTCTTTGGCGGCTATATGTCATTCAGTTTATTCTCATGAATTTTTTAATAGAGAAAATTAGTAAAGTTTAGCTTTTATAAGAAGAAAGATTATAGTATGAAAGACCAGATTAGCCGGAACCAACTTAAACGTTGAGAATGCAATTACTACGTTTTATTGTTGCATCTTACATATATACTCAAGTACTCCACTAATCTGCATCGTAGTTTCTAAATGCAAGGAGCAAAAGTAGCACACATCAAACTCAGTGTTTGGGTATTAGTCTTTTGGTTGATAGGTCATCATTCTTGTGGTTTGTGGTGGGTATCAGTCAGACTTAGTTTGTGGACAGTATAGTTCGATAGGAAAAAAAACACGAACAAGACCACTTCCAAAGTCTTGTCTAATAAAGGCCCAATAAGGTGAAAATTGAGCCTATCTATCCATCTATATATTCGTAAGTTTGTGTGATGTTACAATCAAATTGGATCATAGTTCCACAAAGCAAACTTTTCAACTTCCATACGTAAAACGAAATTGGATTAAACCGAAACAAAATTTGATGGAAAAGAGTAAATACCGCAGCAAGCATACAAACAAACAGAGACATACAAGAACCACAAAGTTATCGTCTAGAGATAAATACATAACCGTGGGATAATTAATTATGTACAGATGCAGAAGTTGAATAAGAAGAAGACGAGCTTCTTTTACCTCCGCTATAATAAGCCTATAACAATTCGATATTTGCTCTCTGCCTTTTAGGACGACGAATCTACGGCTTCCACTTGTTGCCGAGCAAGGTACTTCTCTCTTCTCTCCTTCTGATATGTGACAAAAACTTTGGTGAGTACAAAATGGGATTCATTTAAAGAAACAGAGTTAAACACGAACAGAGCCGGTTAGATTATAATACCCATTCGTCTATGACAAGACCCTCCCCGACCACACGAGGCCCTGTCTCTGGTGGAGGCTTCTTTCTCGCTTCAACTGCAGCTTCAGCTTCATCCAGTTGACGTTTCAGTTTCTCCATTGCCTGATCATTACATCGTAATTCTCCTTATCTAAATGTTCAAACCAAAAAATCTATAAGTTACAGCACTAAAAAATCTTACCGCACTTGGGCCTTCCGCATCAAGAAAAATGACCCGAAGAACCCTCTCCACTGTTACTTCATTCTTTTGCTCATCAAACTGCATGATAAACACCACAAAATGCATCATCTAAAAACATGCTAGAACTAGATGACTCCTAACATCCTCTGCCTAAAACTCAGAAGGAGATTGCTTATTCCTTGACAACCAATTGCATTGCATTAGCCTATTAAGAGCCATGTGACTAACAAAATGCATTCTAAGATTGAACAATAAAATTTTCAACAATGGACATCTGAAGAAACTAACAAGAGATAGAAAGGAGCGACATAACATACCAACTCAGGTACATACTCTACTCCTGGTTTCACTTTTAGGCTCATAATCTTAAACTTAACCTTGCTCTTCTGGTTCAACTGCTGTTTTTCATTGTTCTCTGGGTGTTCAACAAACTTGAACACTGCACATGAACATTTACAAGAAGCAATAATCAGAGTCTGTGTATGCAAAACCCAAAAAAATGACATATTTTTTCAAAGAGTCTCATTACCAGTAGCAAAAACACTCTCTCCTGGAGCCAGAACACCACCGGGAGGACGCATGTAACAACTTTTGGGCGCCGTTGTTTGAAACTAAAACAAGAGAACATAGAGTAGAGAGACTTAGACAGAAAAAAACAAAGTCAACAACAAGTCAACTCCTCTACCAAAAAAACTGCGTAGTTTGCTGACTTGTGAATGGTAAACAAAGAGCAAAGCTGATGTTCAGATATATGATACATACAACTTCTCCATTACCTTAAATGCAGTATGAGATTTGCTTGTATTTTTAAGCTTGATTGCGCTGCGCACTTGCTTACCAGGTTCATCTGAAACAAACACAAAATACAAATTCTTAGCTTAGCACTTGATTACGTTTCAATCTGTATTAACTATGAGAGAGAGCTTCTAAAGAATCCTAATGTTCATAACTTCGATTCTCTAACTACAATCAGAACTCAGAACCAAAATCAACCAATTTTACTATCCGAAATCAAGCTAAATCGACGGAAGAAGCTAACTACAGAAACATACAAGGGAAATAGAGATAGCTGGAAGGATCTAATCGGAGACGCCGACGAGCCGGGAGAAGTGATCTGGCGACGGAAGACATAGTCAAGGAAGGCTTAGAGACGGGGGAAACATCCGTATTCCAATGTCCATGACGGCTACGGTAGTTCTGGCTTGGGTTCTGTGTAGAAGACGAAGAAGTGTTGCTTCTCCTCTGCCAAAACGGACATAGCTTGAAGAGCTTCTTCTTTTTCTTCTCTTCCACCACACTAGGATTCTGACGGTCACCGATCGTCATCTGAATCAATCAATTTTCCCGGTAACCGGAGAAACAAACTTCGAAGTTTCTGAAATAATCTTTTTGTTTTCTAGGAAGAGAGACAAATTGGTGTGAATTTCAAAGAAGCGAAGAAGAAGACTAAAGAGAGACCAACAAAAACAAAATGGCGTTTTGTTTTGGCGTTTTACTCCTTTACTGCGTCTGCGTGAGGGTCACGAGTTTGTTTTAAATCGGATTTCAGATTTTATTTTATAGTAGTTTATAAGTTTTTAGTGAAGTCCGTGTTGTGTGGGTTGGTGTGAAAACGAGTTTTTGACAAATATAGAAAATAAAAGTCTTCAAGAGACGGGGTTGCCATTTTTATTTAAGGAATTGAAAAAATTTAAGTGATTCGTTGTTTGGTTGGTTGTGAATTTAATTGTTTCATTCGTTGTTGTTGTTGTTGTGTTTGCATTTGGTTGGTACTAAAAGGCTTAACGTAGACCTTTGGATTTGCATTTTCAGTACTCACAATAGTGTTTTTGGTTGCACTTGTATGATGTGTATCAGTAGTACATTGAGATTATGGGCTTGGGTCTATACATTACATTCTTTTGGACCGACGACATAGTAGCATTTTAATATTTCGTTGTGTTAGGAAATTCGAATTTTTTTTTTTCTATAACACCAAAATGTTCAACACGTTTTAGAAAAAGGAAAGTAAGTTTTTTCAAATTTAATCTAAAACAGGAAAGATATTTATAATTAGCTATTGCCATATGATTTTATATACATTATAAAATTTTATAACTTGCCAAAAAAATTTCCAAGGAAACACATGTGACAAATCTTATCTTTAAAAATTAACACATGTTTAGACAACATGATAAAGGTTTATTCATAAAAGTCATAGGGTTTTTATTAGCTTGTCATAACAAATTCTTGATAAACAAGAAAAATAATAATTGAAAAACAATGGAAAAATCTCTCAATCTTTGTTTTGACCCTTCTCCAAGTATGTTCACGTTTTTGGTTTCCTTGATTTTAAAACCGCTTCTCCAAGTAATTTTTTTTTGTTTATATAATATGGTCAACCCGACGAATTTAAATTAAAAAAAAAAAAAAAACCTTCAAGAAACAATTAAGAAAGAAAAAGAAAAAAAGATTTTAAAGAGGTTTTAGTTTTTCAGAGTTACTTAGCTCTAAGAGATGAATCAGCTCGCTCTTGCAAGATCCGGTGGTTACACCGCCGCCGTCAAGTTCCTCCCTGTGCTTTCCGCTGCTCTTCCGAGGGTCCTATCATCCCTCGCCGCCGCATCCACCACCACCTCCGTCCGCAACTTCAGTTCTACCGGAAGTCCTCTCACCACCAGGTCTGTTTAACCTTACGATTTCGTATACATTCTGTGAAATTTGTTCGGTGTTTTGTGTTGATTTCGTTTTGTGTAATGTTTTTTTATTTATTTGTAGCAACCAACTCAAGAAGCCGTCGTCGCCATCAAAATCCCCCGCATCCAGGTTTCTTCATCAATCTACCGGAGCTACTCCGCCGCAGCAGTTTTCCGGCGTTCGCAACTTCTCCTCTCCCAGCAGTTCTTTCGACGGGTATGTTAGACCTTGTGATCTTCGTTAATAGCTGTTTGAAATGTGGATTTGAGTTCCGATTTTAGTAGGAACTTTTAGGATTTGATTTGGTTAGGTTGGATTTAACGGATCGTCGCTGAAATTATTTGTGTGTAGCTACCACATTGATCCGCCGACTAACTGGGGGATCAGAATCGTTCCGGAGAGGAAAGCTTGTGTGATTGAGCGGTTTGGTAAATACGTCAAGACTTTGCCGTCGGGGATTCACTTCCTTGTTCCGCTTGTGGATCGTATTGCTTATGTTCATTCTCTGAAGGAGGAAGCGATTCCTATTGGTAACCAGACTGCGATTACAAAGGATAACGTTAGCATCCACATCGATGGTGTTCTATACGTTAAGGTTTATCCTCGTTTCATATCCTCTGGCCATTTTTGTTCTAAACTTTGTTTTTCTACCTATTTGCTTCTGTCGATTTGGTTATTGATTCTTGAGGTTCTTGCAGATTGTGGATCCTAAGCTGGCCTCTTACGGTGTTGAGAATCCAATCTATGCTGTTGTCCAGTTGGCTCAGACTACAATGCGTAGTGAGCTTGGTAAAATTACTCTTGACAAGACTTTTGAGGAACGGGACACTCTCAATGAGAAGATTGTGGTATGCTCTCTTTGTTTCTGGTTCAGTTTTTAGTGTACTTGAGCTTCGTTTCAAATTGAAAACTGATTGTTTAACCGTGTTGTCCATTTCATTATAGCTGGTTATGTGCGTTTGAGTTTTAGTTCTCTTAGATAAGGGTATTGTAGTTTATGTGTTGTGGAATGCATTATGCATTTGTAGTTTATGTGTTGGATACCGGAAGCATCTTTACATTTTGAAATGTAATCATTCTTGCAGGAAGCCATCAATGTTGCTGCAAAAGACTGGGGTCTTCAGTGCCTTCGTTATGAGATCAGTGAGTTAATTTTCTGTTGAGTCTTTGCTGGTGTTTGCTGGATACCCTTTTGGCCTTGTATCTAATACATGTATATCCAGGGGATATCATGCCTCCTAATGGAGTGAGAGTTGCTATGGAAATGCAAGCTGAAGCTGAACGTAGAAAGAGAGCCCAGATTCTCGAGTCTGAAGGTATCCATGATAGTTTATGTTCTGGGATTGAAACTATGTGCCTGCTACTGCTCATTTCGTTCAAATTCCTTGATCAAAGCTACCAATTTCCCTTTTCTAATTTATTTACAATTAGAAAACAATAAATCCTGATTAAATTGTTCCTCATAATCTGCTATACTAAATTTAACAGGAGAACGTCAAGCCCATATCAACAGAGCTGATGGTAAGAAAAGTTCTGTAATCTTGGAATCAGAAGCTGCACAGATGGACCAAGTCAATCGAGCTCAAGGTTAGTATTTAGTAAGCATTTAAGTTTGGAAAACTTGAACTCATATATTAATAACACGTGGAGCCATTCATCAGGTGAGGCCCAAGCAATATTAGCTAAAGCAAAAGCAACTGCCGAAGGACTGGCCATGGTATCTCAATCCCTCAAGGCAACTGGTGGAATGGAGGTGAGTTGTTTCTAAGCATGGTTTCCTGAAATTTGAGATTAATGAACTAACTTGATTACTTCGGTGTTAATACTGTTTTATCAGATTGTTAGTTAATACATAAGTGTTTATTGCTCTACTTAACCCTTGAAATGTGAATGCATTATACCATCTAATCTGTTTTCCCATAAATGATTCTCTCTAGATTTTGAATAAACATTTTAGTGGCTTAATGAACTTGCAAATGTTAACTTGTTTTGCTTTCGAAATTGATACCTCATATGCTTTAAAATCATGGTGAAATATGCAGGCTGCGGGTTTGAGAGTTGCAGAGCAGTATATGCATGCTTTTGGCAACATTGCTAAAGAGGTAAACACAATATTACTTGATCCAAGCTACTTTCTAATCTCGTATTATCCTTGGGGATTTTCTAATAGAGTTGTATTTTTGTTCTTGTTAGGGTACAACATTGCTGCTACCGAGTTCTGCTGATAATCCTGCTAGCATGATCGCTCAAGCTATGAGTATGTACAAAGGCCTTGTCAACAAAGGTGCCAACAGCGGCTTAACAGAATGCTCTGTTGTTGAAAAACTTGACTAGAAGCTATGTTAGCTGAACCTTAGGGAATAATAATTCTTTTGACTTGTGAAGGCTTTTGTAGCCATTATCAGCTTTTTCTTTTCATAAACCATTTTGCAAAACTAGAAAACATATATAAAATCAAATTTGTGAAAGAGATTTTGCACCATATTTGGTCTTTAATGTTCGCTTATCTACTCTTTATGTTTTCTTTTATAACTTTGTTGTTATTGGCGAAAATCTAATTGGCACAGGAAGAGTTTTGGTTAGAACCAAAAACATAAGAGCGGTTGAGAGGATACAAGGTTTGTGTTTTCTCCTGATGAATAGGTCGTTGACAGAGAAGAGCCTTAAAGAATCTAAGGTGACATGAATTTTTTTAGCCTTTTTCCTGAAATAGGTTTGTGTTGGTTTGTAAACACAAACCCACTATATATATCGCTTTGTTGTCTTCTGCTACATTTGCTCAGCCTCTAATAAAGAAAACAAAAGAAACAGTTTTGGCTTCTTGAAAGGAATCAGAAAAAAGGAGTTTCATCTTTTTTAGCTCCACAGTTCTTCCCATTGTGTAAATTTGTTTGTTTGTTTTTGTTTCAAACCGATTTCTTTTCTATAAACACCATGGGAGGCTGTGCGAGCAAACCAAAGGAGTCTGATATCCTTGAAGCCTCTGCCACTACCGAAAAGGTTGTCGTCGAGTCCAAGAACGTTGAATCCGAGGCTGTACCTCAGGTTTGTAGCTCTAATCGCTTCTTTATCTGTTTTGTCTATGTTTTGAGTGAAAGATATGTGATTCTTTTTGTGCTTTCTTATTAACAGGAGAAGGCAGATGAAGTTGTCGCAGAGAAGAAGGAAGAGTCTGCTGGAGAAGTAGCAGAGACACCAAAGGAAGCTGAGCCAGCCAAGCCTGCAGAGGCTGAACCAGCAAAGCCTGTCGAGGCTGAGCAAGCCAAGCCTGCTGAGGCTGAGCCAGCTCCAGAGGTGGTGAAGACCGAAGAAGCTGCCGTGGAAGCTGTTAAGGAGACTGAGCCAACAAAACAAGAGGAGGCTGCAGCAGCCAATGACACCAAAACCAACGAAGAGCCTCTTGTAACCCTTTAATTAAAATTCAGTTTCATTTCTCAAACCCCACTACCGTTGTAAAATCAAAAATCTGTAATATCCATATGTTTCTCACCACTGTTGTTGTATTGTTATTGTTACCACATGTACGTAATTATGAAACAATAGACTTGTGATATATATTTGTGTGACTTGCTACCTCTTGAAAACATCTTCACATTGTTATGTTATGGTTTCTGTTTTATAGTATTTGTGCAATAACATCAAATAACAAAATCTTCTTTGTCAAGATAAGGTTCACAAATATGATGAAATTGGGAAGATTTGGTTGATTGAAATTGGATTGTTATTACAATTCTTCTCTGAAACTTAAGGAGAGAAAACAAAAAATGCAGACTTTATCGGTAGCTTTCAGCAACTGTGCCCTGGTGATAAGATACTCTTTGGGAAACAGAAACAGTGTTGTTAATCTTAGTTCAATTTCTTCGTCATCATCTTCACCTGCTCCCACTCTTGTTTGCCGATCAAAATCAAAATCTCAAACCGATAGCTTAAGAGTGTTGGAATGGGACAAGCTCTGCGATGTTGTCGCTTCTTTTGCTCGTACTTCTTTAGGTCGCGAAACTACCAAGGTTTGATTTTTTTTTTTTTTTTTGGGTTTTCTTCTATATGTAGCTGTTGATGGTTCCTCTGCTTTGAACTTACATGGACGACATTGCTGGTTTTCAGAAACAGCTTTGGTCTCTAGACCAGAGTTTCGATGAAAGTTTGAAGCTTTTGGATGAAACAGATGCCGCCATTCAAATGCTTCAACATGGTTCCTTCTGTCTTGATCTCTCCAGTATTCATATCTCCTTGGTAAATTCATCATCCTCAATCTCTGAAGTGATAATTTTTTAAATGTATTGTATAGTTTCTGATGTGAATACTGATTTGTGTGAAGGTTGAATCGGGAATTCGTCATGCTCGGAGGAGGCTTTCCTTACGAGCAGACCAAGCACTTGAAGTGGCTTCTCTTCTTCGGTTCTTTGATAATTTGCAGCTTGATTTGAAAGCTGCCATTAAGCAAGATGGAGACTGGTACAAGCGGTTTATGCCTCTATCTGAATTGGTATTTGCTGTTTTTGTTTCTTTCAAATATTTTTACTCTTTTTAACTTTAACCTTGTGGTGGCCTCACATTCACTTTGTGTTTCCTTACACCTATCTTGCAGATAATGCACCCTGTGATTAATAGATCATTTATCAAGTTAGTTGAACAAGTTATAGATCCTGATGGTACAATCAAAGATTCCGCGGTTTGTTCTTATGCTGTCTCACCTGCTTTTGACTACATTTTCAAGAGGCATGATCCTTATATTGAACGCATCTTTATTGTTTCAGAGTAGTACCCTTAGACAATCACGTGAAAGAGTGCAAACACTTGAAAGAAAGGTTAATTTAGTTTTTCTCTGTAACTGTGAATTGAAGATTGTCAAAACAGTTTTTGATTTTGCTTTGATATCTTGCTCTTTGAATATATCTTGGTTACTATATACATGTCTTGAGCAAGATATCTTTTAAAGTTATATATTCTGAAACCTTCCTGCTGTCTCCTTTCAGCTACAGCAACTGCTGGATGCTATTATAAGGAGCCAAAAGGATGACGAATCTGTCATGGTAAGCATTCTCTTAAACTGGCCGTAAAGGAGCAAATCTTCATTTTTTATAAGCTGGCCCTATTGATTATTCGAAACAAAATTCCAGGTAGCGTCTGAAATTGATGGAAGATGGTGCATACAAATGAGCTCAAATCAGCTAGCTTCTGTTAATGGTCTTTTGCTTTCCAGGTAACAATTGAATTTGTAGATTTCAGTTAGCAAAGAAGATTCATAATTTTAGATTGAAATTTGATTTATTAACAAAGAGTTCATTACCATTGACTAAGTTATTTAGAAGTTATGCTTGTCCTCTGGTGATTTATTTTCAAATTCTATCTCTTGAAGGTAATATTTGTTACAGTGGTTCAGGTGGAGGGACTGCGGCGGAGCCAATAGCTGCGGTCTCTATGAATGATGATCTTCAAAGTGCAAGAGCATCAGTTGCTAAGGCTGAGGCAGAAATTCTTTCAATGCTAACTGAAAAGGTAATTTTGTTAAGTTAGAATTCTAAATTTTTTCCTTGTTATTGTTTTCTGCTTGCTGACATTTTTGTTCAATTTGATGTAAGCAAAACAGATGCAAGTTGATCTTTATGATATCGAGGTAGTGTTGAGCTACTCGATTAAGCTGGATGTGGTAAGTATATGCTTTTATCACCAATCACTTCTCTTTCCATTAAAGCAAAAAAAATCTCAGCAACATGACCTTTCAAACATGAGGTTTATCGTGTATTTTTTTTCCGGCTAGATAAACGCTCGAGCAACTTACAGTCGTGCATATGATGGTGCACATCCTGATATATACTTGCCAGCTGAAGATGGGGTTGAATCTTTGTCTGCTGAAGAAAACCCACCGGAGAGTAACTTATCCAGTGAGGAATCGCATCCTAGAAAAGAATGGTTGCTGTATCTACCTAGATGTTATCATCCTCTATTGCTTCACCAACACAAGAAAAGCATAAGAAAGAAGCGGGAGACTGTAAAATATCATAAAACAGTAAGTTCGCCATGTTATGATCATTGAATATAGGGTTTAGGGTATATATATCATGTACCCTAAACCCTACCCTAAACCCTAAACCATATATTATGAAGTTAATAAATTCATGGTTGGTTTTTCAGGCAGACACGGTATTATCAGGAGCCCCGCCAATTCCAGCTGATTTCCAGATCTCTAATGGCACAAAAGTTTTGGTTATAACTGGTCCAAACACAGGAGGTAAAACCATTTGCTTAAAATCAGTTGGACTCGCTGCAATGATGGCAAAATCAGGTACGACATATGAAACTTGCAATATCTTCTGTGAGTTAAAAACTTGAACGAAAGATATAAATCCTTGGGAGAGAGTGAAAGATTTCAGAAACTTAATATTATATCAATTTAAATGATCGTAATGGTTTTTGTAGGTCTTTATGTTCTAGCAACTGAATCAGCACGCATACCTTGGTTTGACAACATTTATGCTGATATTGGTGATGAGCAGTCTTTGCTGCAGTCACTTTCTACCTTCTCTGGTCACTTGAAGCAAATTAGTGTAAGTCTGATTCTCGATTGTTATCAGTTTTGGTTAACCTTCCATCCGGTTTCGAATGATCATTTAATCATTTTGGAAGATGTAACTCTCTTGCTATGTAGGCAACTTATGTTTCTTATACTCTGAATGATTGACTTGCAGGAAATTCTTTCACACTCAACAAGCAGATCACTTGTGTTGTTAGATGAAGTAAGTTAAAAGATTTATCTCTTTTGGAAAAAGGGAAACAATGGGAAATGCATTACTTGAAAGAATATGCTTTGAACTCTTGCACTATTATCAGGTTGGAGCTGGAACAAATCCGCTAGAAGGAGCTGCATTAGGAATGGCGATTCTAGAATCTTTTGCAGAAAGCGGTTCTCTACTCACAATGGCAACTACACATCACGGAGAACTAAAGACGCTTAAATACAGGTTTTAAATGATCTTGCCATTCTTCTCGGATTATCCAAGGTTTTAAAGAGTTTTTACATCTTTTCCTTTCCGGATCTATTGTAGCAATTCTGCCTTTGAGAATGCTTGCATGGAGTTTGATGACCTGAACTTAAAACCCACTTTCAAAATCTTATGGGGAGTACCAGGTTTAGCTACAGGCTCATCTAGACTCTCAAATGATCAATTTGCTTACCCCTAAAATAGAATCAGAGTTAATATGCTTCAACAACCCACGTTTGAAAAACAATTGTCAGGTCGATCGAATGCAATAAACATAGCCGAAAGGTTGGGGCTTCCAAGTGATATCATCGGGAGTGCTCGTGAACTCTATGGCTCTGAAAGTGCTGAAATCAATGAGGTCATACTTGACATGGAACAGTACAAGCAAGAATATCAAAGACTTTTGAATGAGTCACGTGTTTATATAAGGTATGATTATCTACGGTTGTTTAAGAGATTAAACTACTGAAGAACTTATAAGTGATAAGATTTAAGACCTAAGAGTCAGGATTCAGGAACTGTACTCTCATATGAGCTTTATGTTTATGTTTTTCTCTTTTGGTTCTAGGCTCTCAAGAGAGTTTCATGAGAATCTACTCACAGCACAAAAGAACATTAACGACCATTCCACCAAAGAGAGACGAAAAATGAGACAAGAACTAACTCAGGCTGGTTCGATGACTCGTTCTACACTTCGCAGAACATTGCAACAGTTTCGCATATCTGCTGCACAATCTTCTCAGTCAAAGGTAGCTACGCAACTCCCAAAAAAAGTAGAAACGACTAAGGATGAAAATAGGGGAATTCGTTCATCGTCTGTGGTAGAGAGACGACCAATTTCTGGTATTTAAATAAGTTTAAGCCCTTTCAAAATAGCTATTATCTGGTTATGGTCTTTGAAGCTGAATCATGTTTCTGCATTAACAGAAGTTGCGGCTCAAAAGGTTCCTGAAGTTGGTAGCTCAGTATTTGTTTCATCTCTTGGCAAAAAAGCGACTGTTTTGAAAGTAGAACAGTCGAAGAAAGAGATCTTAGTGCAAGTAGGCATCATGAAGATGAAAGTGAAACTGACTGATGTTGTGGCCTGAATCTAAATGGCACGGTTATATTCATTAGTATCCAAACCAACACCGTTATATTAGCTTCAGAGTACAAATGATGTAATTAACATGATATGAAGAAACGTGACCTACTAATTACATGGTTCTTGTTCTATGCTTCTTTCTTATACAGGTATATGGTAAAGGACCTACAGGTCTATACAGACTGGATATTAAAGGTTTAGGAGAATAGTGTTTTCTTTACACTGAAGCTCGTGGCTCTTTCTCTGTTGGTTCGATATTTGTCTTGTTCAAGTCTATGCGTGAGAAATGGGACTTGAGGCCAATCCAACATTGGTAGTAGTCATGATCGAGGAAGGGAGACTCCAGAGCCCAATGACAGACTCTAGGTATCAAGGCTGATTCGAACATGAAAGCCATTGTACCTGTGAGTTTAGAAGGCGCCATTGCATTTACTCGAGCAATTGTCGCCTACGTAATAGTTATACAAAATGTTTCACACGCTTCAGACTTAAATTGTATTTCACATTCAGGGGTTAAAAGTGATCTCAGAGGAAAATGAAATGATACCTCGTATGTGGTAGTATCTGGACCATGAGGTGTCATACAGCTATGAAGGCTTGCACCACCAGGGAGAAATCCATCAGCTTTGGCCTGTGAGTTGTGAAGTCAGTTTACAGAGTTTTTCAGTAGCCAGCTAACGATTTGCAGAAGCAGGAACTTAAAGCAGTTTACCTCGTATGCACCGTAGATTAAACCCATAAATTCACTCATGCAGTTACGATGATAATAAGGAGGTCGAAAAGTATGCTCAGCAACCAACCATCGAGGAGGGAATATGACAAAATCAAGTAAGGCCACACCAGGTTTATCCGTTGGTGCTGTAAGAACTGAGAGAACAATAATTCCCCGAAAGAGTGTGATTAACAATAAAGAACCAGTAACCTATCCATAATGAAACAAAAATAAGAATAGATTCAGCTTAGAAGACCGACCTGTATTTACAGATGGATCTCCATGGTCTAGGAGGACGGCGTTGTATGGACAGAACTTCTGCAAGTCATACTGTAGATGGAAAAATGAAATCTTCAGACAAAAGTGTGTTAATTTTAAAAAGCTTATGCTCAATAAACATATAAACATGTATTCACCTTATAAGGCACGTAATTGCCATGCCAGGCGACCACATTGAATGGAGAAAAATCTTGCTTGGCAGTAAAGAGTTCACCACCAAACTTCTGAATAATGGTGTAGTCAGGCCTCACTGCATCTTCAAACCATGCCGTTGGTGCAAGAAAGTCTCTTGGTGCAGCAAGACCATTGGCACCTGTGTACATCCAACAATACAATTCCCACGGGACAGGCTTTTATAAACACAATCCAGGTTATTCAGGTTGAAAATCTAAAAGAACTCAAGAGTACCTATTGGTCCAAGATCAGGAAGCTGAAAATGAGCCCCATAAATTTCAGCAACATATCCTCGCGACTTCCCATCCGGTAAATCTATGGAGAAACGAAATCCTTGCGGTATGACAGCAATTTCACCAGGAGATACTAATAGCCTTCCACACTCAGTTTCAATCCATAGCCCTAAATAACCACTCAAAACATCAGAATCAATCAAGGCAGAATCTTGAATCCGTTGCCTTTACATGACTGCCTAAACTAACCATCAACAATTCATCTTAAATTCCTTACCAAATAAAAGATCTGAACTTTATAACAATGAATCTACACAAAATCAAAAAGCATGAAGACTACTAACTTACTTCCTGCTTGAGGAACTAACAAGAAATCACCATCAGCGTTACAAAATGCAGAGTCTTTCATTCCTTTGTTAGCCACATACCTTCAGAAAAGTTGAACACAAAGATCATTATTCTATCTATTATTAATCAAAACCCAAAATCAATTAGCAAAAGAGATCTCTCTACATGTGAATAGCGAATCCATGGCGAAGAAACGAGCTTCCAGCTCCACAAATAGTATATAACCCATCAACGAAATCAGTCGCAGATTCAGGAATATCCTCAGGTCTCCACCTAAGCTGAGTCGGATTCGTACGACTGTTCGATGCATCAAACTCACTCACAAGCTTCTTATGAGCTGGTACACGAGGCTTGAACGGTTCATGTGTAACCGATGGCTTGATCCGATACAGCCAACTGAAACAAAGATGAAAGATCAATTCAACAAAAATGATCCGAAATTTACAAATCAAAAGTTGAATTCAAAACAGTAATAGAAAAAAACGAACCTTCGTTGATTGAGCTTGCGAGGAGAAGTGAAAGAAGTACCGGAGATCTGCTCGGCGTAAAGACCGTAAGGACAAATAAGAGGACTGTTCTGATCTAACGGCAAAGCTCCGGCGATCGCTTCCGACGAGAAATGGTTACCGAAACCTGATTGATACTTTAACTCTTCAAGCTTCTTCTTCTTCACCTCTTCCATGGCTACTTCACATACACAACTGAGACGCGATGATCGATACATTCATATAACCAATAAACACGTGGGAGTGATGCTGACGTGGCACGTTGATCAAAGAAGAAGATACAAATAGCGTCTGATTTTAAAACTCTTTTTTCCTAATAATTCAAAATTTTAAAAATCCTATCTATTTATTTCTCTGTGACTTCATTATTATTGGGCTTCAATATAAATGGGCTTTGTTCACGATTTGGCCTAGCTTTGGGTTAAATCAGCTTATGATTGCTTTTGTCACTTGTTTTATATCCCACATCGGTAACTTGGTAAGAGAGGTTCTTCTTTATAAATGGCTAGTAAGCAATGATGGTCACGACCTTACTTGAACAGGATCTGTTCTATAGGCTCGTACCTCTGTATCCTTGATTTCTAAGGAGACAGGCCCTTAACCCTGGTTGATGAACCATGACCGTGCGATCAGAGCGTGATTAACGGCTACGGTCGTCCTTGGGCGCATCCGTTGCTGTAGAGGATCGTTACTCGGCTCGGTTCTACCTTGCCGGGGTGGTCGCACGGCGGTCTGACAGGTTCCCTTTTTCCCTCTTTTTTTTTTTTTATTTGTTTTGGTTTCTCTTTTGACAAAATTTGCTCGAGCGTGTCTGAATAGAAACTATTCCATTACATGTCCGTGAGAGAGATGTCCAATTTATCGTTGCAAGCTAGTGAAGTTTTTCTCAAGCTATTTCAAGAAAACAAGAACAAAGCAAACAAGACGTCCATAGTTGAAAACATATCAAAGATGTCAGTAGGCCAACTTTGAATTTTGTTTGTTATTATTGTAGATAAGATAAACCAATACATGTGAATAATATCTTCCCTTAATGGTTGGAATAAAGAAACTATTCTTGATTTTTGAAACTAGAAGCTATGAATAAGCCTAATTTAATGCATTCTGATCGAAAAAGACCATAGCTACTTCAGTACTTGTGCGTAGGAGCAGCTGCTTTGATGCGAGAACAAGTATCTTTGAGAAGAGGAGGGAAGAACGGATGTAAGGGAAACATGTGTGGCCAACACTTGGAATCTACGTCCGAAAACGCTTTGCAACACATAGGTCCGACATTACCAAACTTTCTTGTGAATACTGATTTGAATATCTCAGCCACACAGCCTTCGACACTAGAGATTGATGACCAACATTTTGTGATATCAATCGGAGAACCAGGAAGAGAAAATCCAGGAACAATAGAGAGTTTAGATGTTGCAAGTGCGGGAGCAGCTGCGTTGATGCGAGAGCAACCAGCTTTAAGAAGAGGAGGGAAGAATGGATTCAATGGAAACATTTTTGGCCAACACTTTGCATCGATTTCCACAAACGCCTTACAGCATGTTGGTCCAACTTTTTCAAACTTACCGGTTAATGCAGATTTTAAGATTTCGATTTCGCAACCTTGAATCTTAAGGAGCGATGACCAGCATTTTGCGAGATCAATTGGGGAGCCAGGAATGGTAGGGAGTTGAGCAAGCCCCGGCTTCACTAAAGTAGTGGCACACAAAGTCACAACTAGAAGCGTGGAGAGAAGAATTTGCATCTTACCTTTCATGGTGACTAGACTAGACTATTGTTTCTTCTTATTCTATAGAGAGAGAGAATGGTTTGCTTATTGATTGAGATGGTTTGGTGATCCAAAGAAGCAAACAATTTATAGAGTAATCTCAATATGAACGGATACGGTAAATTTATAACTGAAGAGTTAACATTTTCATAATTCATATTTGACAAACTTAGAATTAAAACATAAAACTGTTTACACTTTCACTAACTGATATCAGTAATTAACTCAAGTTTTAGAGTTTAAAAACAATTAATCCAAATAAATATCTATTTGGAGTTTAAATTCAAAAACCAAATAAAAGCTGTATATTATACAAAAGTCGAATATAAGGTAGAATACGGTTTTGGTTTTGGTTTTGGTACACAACATTCATATACATACATACTTGGTTATGTCAACCTTTTAAACCAAATCATGGGAAGTGTTACACTTAACAAATAAAATAACTTAAGTTAGGATTGGAGATTTAAACCTAAATAAGGGGGCCTTGGCCCGTATATTGCCTACGCAAATCATGTCATGTACTCCCCAAAACTCCCACATCGCCCATCTATGAATATATCTTGTTGTATATATATGGCCACAAAGCAACAATGGTCACGACCTTACTTGAACAGGATCTTTCCTATAGGTTGTACCTCTGTTTCTTTGATTTCAAAGGAGACTGACAGGTTACTTTTTCTCTTCCCTTATGGATCATATGCTTGTTTTGAATTGCTCTTTTTAGATTTTGTATGATTCTTAAGTATTTTTATGCAATCTAATCTTGTTTTCTCTAAGATTTTGTATGATTTGTGTTTCTTTTTATGATTAGTGAGTTTTTGGGTTTAGTAGATTAGGGTGGTTGTTGATTGGTTCAAGATGCTTAGCGATTAATAATTATAATAGATCCTTGCTCCCTAGGAGTTCTTAGTGCTAGAACAAAGAAAATCTTGAATATGAAAACTACACCAATATATAATAACCTCAATACACACTAGAACTTACAACCATTATTTAAAACGAAATCTAAGAGTTAAGGAATACAGAGCTTAGTGTAGGTGAAAATATATACACGCAAAACTAAATATGGATGCCGCCAAAGAGACAGTGTAACCATCTTCTTCTTTTTCAACAGCAAACATAACCAAGTTTAGCCGCTTAACACTAGCTTTGTGTGTAGATTTCTTAATTGAAAGTGAGGCTCTTTATTTCATTTGCACTTATTAATAGTGAGTTGCTACTTGCTAGCATAGCATGGTTTGGATATCAAACGAAACAAACAATTTATAAACTCAAGTTGTATACGTATAATCAATCTTCATTACAAGAGTTACACACTTACACTTAAAGAATCGTCTGTTACAAAACATAAAATATACAATGTTAACACTTTGAAACAAAATACAAAAGTGTTTCATTTTGACAGATAACAGTTACCATGTTCGCCGTTTACATGGTACAACTAATAAGATAAATTTCATGGACTAATTGCTATATATACTCTATTAACCAGAGAGCTACACTTTTTAGAAGTCCCTTTTTATAAGAGCTACGGTAATCAAGACGACTCTGCGCACAAGTCACTTTTTATATACATACACTTGAAACTAATACAAACAGAGATCTACGGAGTCGGACAGTTCAGGAAAAAACTTGAAAGCAGCTTCGCTCTACTCGATCCTCACATTTACACCCACATCTACATTTACATCAACATCAGTCTTGTTTCCACCCATCGAACCAACGTCAACAAGTAGGTCCTCTGTGTTAAGCTGACATCTCGTATTCCCGCTTTGATTGTTCATCGAAATGTCAGAGTCATGATCGCGTTGCGTTGCAGCCATGGCCATAAATTCTCTAATTATTAGATTGCTTTGATCTACATCCCCTAAGTTCTTTTCAGTTTCTTGGTCCTGAAGCAACTTCAACTTCTTCACGAACTCGTTTGCTTCGAGTTCTCTCTGTTGTTTCATCTTCCTCTTTCTCACCAGCCTCTCGACATATCTTTGATCTTTCGCCAACTTTGCAAAGAAACTAAGCATATGTCTTTGTTCTAATTCAACTCCCTGAATCTTCTCCTGCACAGTGACCATTTGATGTTGAGATTCTTCATGTTGTTGTTTCAACTTCAACATCTCCAATCTCATTGGACTCTGTTCCTCCTTCAATAACTCAACCTCAGTCTCAGTCCTCAACCCTGTGATGCTCGCTTCTTTGTTACAGTTAGTTTTGCTTCTCCTCCTCTTGATGTTCTTAAGCAAATGTTTCTTCCCTCCTTGAAACCCTTCATTAGCAAACTCCCACCTATCTGAATCAACCTTCTTAAACCCCTAGTTAAAATTCACAAAGCTTGCGTCACAAGAAACATAGCTAAAAGCCTAAAAAATAAGTAAAAGAACTTGTTTTGCGCTTACGTAGGTGTTAAGCTGGCGGATGAAACTGGAGAAGTTCTTGTGCTTGAAGTATTTAGGAAGAAGATTCTCAGAGAACTCGTAAGAATCCCAAATGATGAAGCTTTTACGGGTCGAGCTCCATGACACAACCGGGTCCGTTACCACATCATCGACGATCTCAAACGTCTTTCTCAGAAACGGCGTTATTAGACCTATCTCGTGCAATTTCCAAAAACCAACTGACGAAGACGAATCGTTTAAGTTAACGGCGTCATCTTCGGTTAGTGAAACGACGTCGTCAGACGAGCCTTCGCTTCTGGTCTGACCATCTTTAACGGTCTCCGTAGCCGTCTCTTGACCAAGCGAAGACGAAGATTCAATATCGGCGACGTCTGGAACCACCGTCATAGCTTCCCTACGTCGTTTATATTATCTTCGTCTCGCCACGTCTCGTTTTGGAAACGTGTTGGAGAAGTAGTACATTTTTGAAACTTAATTATATAACTAGTACAATCACTATTTACAATTAGGAAACTAGTACATTATCACTATTTGCTACTATTTGGTTGATCTTGAAGCACTCAAAAAACATATTATTTACAAGTATGCCATTAGAATAATTATATAATGATTATATAATATAATTCGTACATCATATTTTATGTACAGAAGTGTAAAAACATATATTTGTACAATAATAAAAATATTACATAATAACATCCGTACAACATATTAGTGTACGAATATGTACATAAATATGCATAAATTCATATATCATAGTAGTTGTACAGATAAAAATGTGTAATTTTTTATACATGCGTACATATAGCAAGCTGTACGGGGTACTCTGTACATCTAATCAAGTGTATACAAACGTCTGTACATATAATAAATTGTACAAATACGTCTGTACATATACTCTGTACATCTAATCAAGTGTACACAAACGTCTGTACATATACTAAATTGTACAAATACGTCTGTACATATGTTAAAGTGTACAAAAAAATATATACTTATGAAATATATTTAAACTATACTAAGCAAAATGCATATCAAATTATAGAGAAAAAAACATAGATTTTTGTGAATCAAAAAAAAAGTTTGAAAAAAAATTACAAAACCAAGAATTTTTAGTTATTAGAATGTTGGGGTAAGAATATTTTAAAGAATAAAAAAAAGAAAACAAAAAAACAAAAAGAAAAACGAAAATGGGAAAAAAAAAAAAATGCCCTCCCTTGTCATTTTTTTTCTCCTTCTTTTTCTATCTCTCAAATTCTCTATCTCACAAATGTACTATTTTGCCAATTTTGAATAATAAATGTATTACTTCCCCAATTAAATTCTCAAAATGTACTAAATATCCTATTAGACCCAACTTTTTATTGCCGTTTATGGAAATATATTAATAATTTTTATACTTTACAGCGTATCAAAAAGTTACCCTATTATTTGTACGAAATTATATATTCACACCCACTTTTTCTTAATTTGACAAACTAACACCCATATCATAATCACATCTCTAACCGTTGGATATCTTTGCGGTTGGTCAAGATGAATCGGTGGTGTAAAGTGATTATGGAAAATGGAACCAACGGTGCCATTGAATACGATGCCATGCATGAATGACAATTGTCGCTTTTACTAAAAACACGTACACCTCAGTACTAATAAGCATGCTTATTAGTATATTAAAAAGAAAAGAAAAAGAGTTAGAAACCAATTTGTTAGCTAAAGTTGTATGGCTAGGATCAGAAATCGTGGCGAGATCGATGCACTTGGATCCTATATATACCTTCCATTGCACTTGATTTGAGAGTGAATCGTTTGATTGTGTTGGTTTGGTTATGAGAAGAAACAAACAATTTATAGAGTAAATCAAGTTAAACGTATACTTTGTACTCGTTATTATTATATAAGATTAACAAGATCGTCACATTTTAAGATTCGTACGTAACGTCAACCTTTGATACAAAACATGGTTTACATCTAAAAGTTACCATGTTGACTTGTTAACGTTGTAGTAGACATGATGATTTCAATCAGGACAAAAATGCTCTCAGATTTATATTTTATTACAGCAAAGTTTTATTATATACTCCATATCCTTCATCAATATCTTAATTTTGAATGGAAAAGTTTTCTATTTTACTCATACATATATAACCAAACTTACAACATATAGCAATGATGTGGCAATAATGTAGCAATGATGTAGCAATATAATCAATATGATAAGATATAGCAATGATGTAGATACACGCCTAATGATCTCATTGGAATGAATGTTCTGGTTTATTTGTAATAAACAATGCCCCCACGCCTAATGACTTTGGTCTAAACTCGAAAGAGATGAGCATATAAATGGAAATTGCATAAATCTTTCTTCTCAAGTAACAAAATGGAAATTATCTAAAATCAATAATTTGCACAAATTTTTTTCTCTGTTTTACAAAAGAAAATTTTCTAAATCAATATTTTTATTTTTTTTTGCACAAAGATTTCTTTCCATTTCCATATTAAGGTAATACCAAAGATTTTATTTAATTTTCTAAATTGTCAAAGGATTTCCAGTTTCCTTTTCTTTTGTATTTTTTCCTATCTTTCTTATGCAAAGTCTCTTATATATATGTTTGCATCGTGAACACAAAAATATTATTAGGTCAAAGCTATTAGCAAAGATGAATTACAACGAGCCATTAGATCCGGCGATGATCATAACAAAAGAGCTGTCGAAGTCTGATGTTGTAGGTAATATGACATTACCAAAAGCAGAGGTGATGTCTGTCCTAACGAAGATGAATAATGTTACAAACGAAAATTTGCAAAACGGTGTTGAAGTGCAAGTCCACGACCTAATGGAAAACGATTTGTACACGGTTACTCTGAAAACTACAGGTATTGATAACCCTAAATATTACTTCGGGACTGGTTGGAGTATTATGAAGCATTCGTTAGATCTCGAAGTTGGTCATGTCCTCAAGCTCTACTGGAACCAATTAGAAAACAAATTCGTTGTCCTTAATTTTCAGTATAATGTAATGCAACCAATGATTCCAGTGTAGATCGTTTGCATTCTTTTCTGGTTTTTCCAAATTATGTTTTGGATTTTATATTTTAGTTTTAAGTATTGGTTTTCTTTTTTCCTTTATGTTTTCGAATAATGTACTTGAATTATATATTGAATACCAAGAAAACATGGTTGTTTATTTATTTTTTTATATTGTGTGTGTGTGTCTTATTATTATTCCAAAAAGAGACCTTAAAAAAAGAAAATACTAAAGCCTTGTCTCATCGTCTCTCAAAGAGTAGAAGAAACCGAAGAAACGTGCCCTTTGCACAACATAGGATTGAAACCTTTCTGCTTAGCAATCATGAAAGCACCAATATTGGTTCTACCAATGTAACTGACTCTTGTTTAGGTAGAAAAAAAAAACAATAAATATGGGATGGGCTTACAAATAAACAAGCAACAGCCCATATCTCGCTAAACTAATAATAACCCACAATAACAGATTGTTTTCTTTACATCCCACATCGGTTGTAAAGACTCAGGAACAGTGAGTGAACTCAAGTATAAATAAAGAGCATAGAGCTAATTCCAAAGATTCACGGAGATGTGCAGTGAAGACAAAGCGAACTATTCTTTCGCCTTTTACTAAAGAATACCGTGTCTTCTCTGCACTTATGCGGCATACCTCTATTTTTGGAAAGGTTTATTTAACAAATAAGCCTCCATCAAATCGATAGTTTGTAATTATGTTAACCTTAACGGTTAGTGATGCTAGAATAAAAGTGCAGTGTTTGTAACCAGTGTGAGACATTGGTATAAGAGGTTTAACTTATATAAGCCAATGACGCAGCTAGGGAGGTATATTTACTGAATAGCCTCTATCGCTGGTTAAAAAGTATTTCCAAAACTCCTCTTTGTCCTTGGTGAATTCTTGAAGGACAACCTAGCTAGGCTTGGGTAAAAAAAAACTAAGTTCAAACTTAATTTGTTTGTTTTTTTTGTTACAAGCCAGAGGATCATCTTGGAAAAGGTTAACTAAGCTTAGTCTGAGGAAAAAATTTCATCAACCTAGAAGGTCAAAACCAATATCACTGTGTCATTTAAGACCGGTCTTGATCTCCTAGTATAGGTGGTATGTTTAAAGAAAATATTTTATGTTAAGTGTTGATGAAGATGTCTTCAAGATCATACAAGAGGGTTGAGTGTCAAGTACCAAGGGAAAGCGAAGTTTCTTTCAAGAATCAAGTTTATCCCTCATGAAGAGAGAAAATAGATGCTATGAGGTCAAACTTGAATTTTTTAATTTGTTATTATTGTAGAACAAAACGTAGAATAACCTTTCCAAAAAGTAAAACTTTTCTTGAATATTGGAACTAGAAGCTATAATAAGCCTAACTTGATGCATTCTGATATAAAAAGACCATAGCTACTTCATTACTTGTGCGTGGGAGCAACGGCTTCGATGCGAGAACAACTATTTTTTAGAAGAGGATATAGAGAAGGATATTTCTTATATTACAGAGAGTGAAAGTTACAGACTATATATACTTGTACAGAGAGACATTAGGGTATAGCTAATTGTAATTAAGTCCCTATAACTACTATATTTACATTTGTTCTACTATACCATGGTGACTATATTGTGATCTTTTTTTTTTTATGTTATCTATGAAGAAGGGTCAATAGTTCAATTGGGATGGTTCAGGTATCAACACAAATAAACAATTTATATCGTAATACAAGGAAGGATAACGTTAAGATTATTCCGAGAGTTACAACAATTTTGAGAACTGTTCAATTAAACAACCTTTGAGAGTGAAACATAAAAGTTTTATACTCAGACAAACGTAACTCAAGTTAAAACGTTGACCGTGGGATTAATAAGGGTGACGAATTTAAATATGGTCCATTAATTTGGTGGGCCGAATATTACAAGGAGTCTTGTTGATGTTACGATACCATCACGTGTTTGCACTTACCGGGAGGTTACACTTGCCCGGTCATTTGGTTTACTCAAACAGGCAAATAAGAACACACCATTCATCACGACTCACAAGCGACACTCACCAATCCGTTTAATGGGTTTGAGCAATTATATATCACAGAAGAAGGAAACAAACTTTATGATAAAATATAAAGAAAAAGTATAAGGCAAAGCCAACAAAATGGGTGATTTTGGATCAAATGGTTCGTCAAGCATGAGCATTGTGATGTATCCATGGTTAGCCTTTGGTCACATGACTCCTTTTCTTCACCTCTCCAACAAACTCGCAGAGAAAGGTCACAAGATTGTTTTCTTGCTTCCCAAGAAAGCACTAAACCAGCTTGAACCTCTTAATCTATACCCGAAGCTCATCACTTTCCACACCATCTCCATCCCTCAGGTTAAAGGTCTACCTCCCGGTGCGGAGACCAACTCTGACGTCCCCTTCTTCTTGACTCATTTGCTCGCGGTTGCAATGGACCAAACCCGCCCAGAGGTCGAGACCATCTTCCGTACAATCAAACCAGACTTGGTTTTCTACGATTCTGCCCATTGGATACCGGAAATTGCTAAACCGATGGGTGCTAAAACTGTTTGCTTCCACATCGTGAGCGCTGCTTCAATCGCGCTGTCTCTTGTCCCTGCTGCTGAGCGAGAGGTCATTGATGGGAAGGAAATGTCAGGGGAGGAGTTAGCTAAGACGCCTCTAGGTTACCCGTCTTCGAAAGTGGTCTTGCGTGCCCATGAAGCAAAACTCCTAAGCTTCGTGTGGAGGAAGCACGAGGGAATTGCTTCTTTCTTCGACGTACAAGTCGCTGCGATGAGAAACTGCGACGCGATAGCTATAAGGACTTGCCGTGAGACGGAAGGCAAGTTCTGCGATTACATCAGTAGCCAATACAACAAACCAGTTAACCTAACCGGACCTGTACTCCCCGGATCCCAACCCAATCAGCCCTCTTTAGAGCCTCAATGGGCAGAGTGGCTAGCCAAATTCAAACCTAATTCGGTTGTGTTCTGTGCTTTCGGTAGCCAACCCGTTGTAGACAAGATAGACCAGTTTCAAGAACTCTGTTTAGGGCTAGAATCAACTGGTCTACCGTTTCTGGTTGCGATAAAGCCTCCTTCAGGTGTATCAACCGTCGAGGAAGCGTTACCGGAAGGATTCAAGGAGAGGGTTCAAGGACGTGGCGTTGTATACGGAGGTTGGATTCAGCAACCGTTGGTGTTAGACCATCCTTCAGTGGGGTGTTTCGTTAGCCACTGCGGGTTTGGGTCGATGTGGGAGTCTTTGATGAGTGATTGTCAGATCGTTCTGGTTCCGCATCACGGAGAACAGATCTTGAACGCGAGGCTTATGACAGAGGAGATGGAGGTGGCGGTTGAGGTGGAGAGAGGAGAGAATGGATGGTTCTCGCGGCGGAGCTTGGAGGATGCTGTGAAGAGTGTGATGGAGGAAGGTAGTGAGGTTGGTGTGAAAGTGAGGAAGAATCATGACAAGTGGAGATGTGTTTTGAGTGACTCTGGTTTCGCAGATGGTTATATCAATACGTTTGAACAGAGTTTGACTGAACTTGTGAACAAGTCATGAATTCATAATTCGTCAATGTCTATGTGTTATTGTAAGTTATGAGTTTTTATAAATTGTTTTAGTTTGTAGAATTTAATCAATTCTATGAAATTTTAGATTTGGCATATTCGTAACAAACAAGAGTGTCACGATCTTGCAATTTAAATTGCTAAAAATAGTATTTAATTTATCTTGTGTGTTATATAGCATGGATTAGGGAATAATTTCCGGAAATTAATTACCAAAAGGGAGAAACTGCAAATTACGTAAACAACTTTAATATATTTTTATTAATCAAAACTAAAGATTTCGTAACAAACTTGAATCATTCAATTGATACCAGTCTTCTCCTAAACTTCAGTTCTAAAATTTCATAAACAGAAACACAATTAAGAAACAAGGTTAGAAAGACAAAAACAGAGGAACATAACAGAAATGGGGTCAAAGTTTCATGCTTTCATGTTCCCATGGTTCGGCTTTGGTCACATGACTGCGTTTTTGCATCTGGCTAACAAATTAGCTGAGGGAGGGCACAGAATCACTTTCTTGCTTCCCAAGAAAGCTTTGAAGCAACTTGAACCTCTCAATCTCTTCCCAGACTTCATCATTTTTCAGACACTTACCATCCCATCTGTAGATGGCCTCCCTGCTGGCGCCGAGACAACCTCCGATATACCGATCTCCTCAGGGAGTTTTCTCGCCTCGGCTATGGATCGGACACGCAATCAGGTCGAAGAAGCGGTTTCTATAGGTAAACCGGATCTGATTTTCTTCGATTTTGCTCACTGGATTCCTGAGATAGCTAGAGAGTATGGAGCCAAGAGTGTGAATTACATAACGATCTCTGCAGCATGTGTAGCTATCTCGTTTGTCCCTGGTCATAGTCCAGATGCTATGGCTGTTCCTCCACCTGGATATCCTTCTTCTAAGGTGTTGCTTCGGGGACAAGAAACTAACTGTTTTGCCTTTCTCTCCTACCCGTTTGGAGATGGGACTACGTTTTACGAACGTATAATGATAGGACTTAAAAACTGCGATATCATTTCGATAAGGACTTGTCAAGAAATGGAAGGAAAATTCTGCGATTTCATCGAAAGCCAATTTCAAAGAAAAGTTCTCTTGACGGGTCCAATGCTTCCTGAGCCGGACAATAGTAAACCACTTGAAGATCAATGGAGAAAATGGCTGAACCAGTATGAACCGGGATCAGTAATATACTGTGCATTGGGTAGTCAAATCATTCTTGAAAAGGACCAGTTCCAAGAACTCTGTCTAGGAATGGAGCTGACAGGTTTACCATTTCTTGTAGCGGTAAAGCCACCAAAAGGCTTCTCCACAATACAAGAAGCCTTACCAAACGGGTTCGAAGAGAGGGTTAAGGGACGTGGAGTGGTTTGGGGAGGATGGGTGCAGCAACCATTGATATTGGCTCATCCATCCATAGGCTGCTTTGTGAGTCATTGCGGTTTCGGGTCAATGTGGGAGGCTCTAGTGAATGACTGCCAAATAGTGTTTATTCCACATTTGGGTGAACAAATACTTAACACTAGACTGATGAGCGAGGAGCTCGAGGTCTCGGTGGAGGTGAAGAGAGAGGAAACAGGATGGTTCTCAAAGGAGAGCTTGAGCGATTCGATTAAATCTGTGATGGATAAAGACAGTGAGCTAGGGAACCTAGTGAGGAGGAACCACGCTAAATGGAAAGAGTCTCTGGTTAGTACTGGACTAATGAATCGTGATGTCAATAAGTTTATAGAAGCATTACAGAAACTAGTCTAAATAGAAAGAAGATGAATAATTTACTTTGTAAGAAACTTGGTTTGCCACAATAACGTTATATATATGCATGGACTTTTTAAGCTCTGCTCTTTCAAGTAGTTAACTGTTCGTTTCTTGTTATGTTCTATTCACTTATTAAATCAAATATAACTTGATTGATGAACTCATGATCTTGATATGTTACTATTATTTGAGAAATATTTAGGGTATAAAATATGTAAATGACTCAATTTGAGATGAAAATTAAGTAGATAGCCTTACAAATAAAAAATTTCATTTTCAACTCTTCCAGTGATAAGAAAAATACAAAACAATCCATGGGAGTAATACATATTTTTTTGCATATTCGTACTAATTTTTATACTCAAAACAAAATTTCAAACCCAAACATAGTGTATTTTCTCTTTCTTTTAAAGATGCTTTTCTTAACTATTCCTTAAAATCTTGGGCACAATCGAAATATAAAGAAAATGAAAAAAAAATAAAAAATTGTTAGGTTGCATATTCACTCTTGAGATAATGTTACGAAACGGCATTTTTTTTGTCCTGGGGCAACTGGTATTAAAATAGTGAAAATTCAAGAAGAACTCAAGATCGTCTTCGTTTAATACAATTTTATTTTTTTTAAGTTTATCTAACAAAAGATCCTACGAAAGATGGCGAAACCAAAGTTCAAGACTGTTCAAGAAGTGGTTGCAGCCGGCGAAAGACTACCGGAAAGATACCTCTACACATCCACCGGCGACGGAGAAGGTGGTCAACCTTTCAACGGTTCGTTGCAAGAGATGGAAATTACTTCCATCGATCTTAGTCTACTCTTCTCTTCATCTGATGTCGGTCGAGAAGAGGTGAATAAACTTCACTCGGCGCTATCTACATGGAGCGTTGTTCAGGTTTGCTCTCTTAGTAATGATCATATATAATCATAAAAATTCGTCAAAGAAATTAAATCTCTCTTTTGAAGCAGGTGATGAATCATGGAATCACAGAAACGTTACTCGACAAGGTTTATGAGCTAACGAAGCAGTTCTTTGCGCTTCCGACAGAAGAGAAACAAAAGTACGCAAGAGAGATTGGTAGTTCTCAAGGATATGGAAACGACATGATACTGTCGGATGATCAAGTTCTTGACTGGGTCGACCGCTTGTACCTCATTACTTCCCCTGAAAATCAACGAAAGCTTAAGTTCTGGCCTAACATCCCAATCGGATTCAGGTAAATATCCATAGCTTGAGTTCCCTTTAGCTTTACTTTAGATTTTTTTTTGGTTTTTTACTAGCGTTTCTTTAGGGAGACTTTAAATGAATACACAATGAAGCAACAGCTAGTGGTTGAGCAATTCTTCAAGGCATTGGCTAGATCGTTGGAGTTGGAAGATAATTGCTTTCTAGAGATGCATGGTAAAAATGCTACGATGGAGACAAGATTTAACATGTATCCTCCATGTTTGAGGCCGGACAAGGTTCTTGGGCTTAAACCGCATTCTGACGGCTCGGCCTTTACTCTTCTCATACCCGACAAAAATGTCGAAGGACTTCAGTTCCTCAAAGATGGGAAGTGGTATAAAGCTTCAATCATCCCTCATAACATTATGATCAATGTAGGAGATACTATGGAGGTAATCAATCTTGATATATTCGTGTATGAAAAAATATAAAGTTTCTTTAAAAAAAATGCATCTACAATATATTTCAAGAGTGATTGGTGCAGATTTGAAAGAATCTCTCATGTGTGTTCAGATAATGAGCAATGGAATATACAAGAGCCCTGTTCATAGAGTGGTGCTTAACAGAGAAAAGGAAAGGATATCTGTGGCAACGTTTTGCAACGCTGATAAGGACAACGAGATTCAACCTGTATATGGGCTTGTGTCTGAGGCAAGACCAAGGTTGTACAAAGCAATTAAGATATCTGAGAAGACCTACTTCGATTACTATCAACAAGGTCGAAGACCGATCGAAGCTGCATTGATCTGAAAAACATTCAGTCTCCTTTTGGTATCAACAAATGCATGCTTGATCCTTATTAAACAAGATTGTTTCTTTCTTTGTTGGAACGCGAGATTGCATTTGTGCTGTGTTGTTGCAATAACACAATTAGAGTTTAAAGTTCATCTTCCTAAAACACAAGTCAGATCCGAAAGAATTGAGAAAGATAGCTAGAGTGATAAAAGGAAGAATTTGAACTTGAGTCTAGGACTCTAGGGGATATTTTATTTCCCTCATCTCATGATGTTTCATGAAGTACTTTCCTTTTAGGTGGTCGAGCTCAAATTAAGATATATTTGGGCTTGTACAGACTCGAATCAAATAGGGCCAGGCTAACCTGGTTCAGATTCGTAGTCAAACCTAGTATTTGACTTTTTGATATGCAACATTGTATTTTCTAGAGGCATTACATGTCTACATTACAATAAGGATTAAATATAAACAATAATATCATCTAGATCATAGACTTTTCTAATGTAGACAAAGTATATTCTCAACACATGCACCCACTGGTTCACCTACTAATTACTAAACCACCAAGGGGTAGTAATAAAAAAACCTTAAACACTTTCAGAAGCTCATTCTCCAAGCTTAAACATCAATTGCAGGAATCTTTTAGCAAGCAAAAAAAAAAGAAAAAAAAAGAAGAAGAAGAAGCAATGATGCTTATCATTTGAAACACAACAAAAACTTCTTCTTTTGGGTCTCTTTGAAATCTTTATTTTTGTTTTTGTGTTTCGACTGTTTAGGAAAGAAAAATGGGCAAACAGTTTCATGCTTTTATGTTCCCATGGTTTGCTTTTGGTCATATGACTCCGTACTTGCATCTAGCCAACAAGTTAGCTGAGAATGGTCATAGGGTTACTTTCTTGCTACCTAAGAAAGCTCAGAAACAGTTGGAACATCACAATCTATTCCCAGACAATATTGTCTTTCACCCTCTTACTATACCTCATGTTGATGGCCTCCCTACTGGCGCCGAGACCGCCTCGGATATCCCCATCTCGTTGGGGAAGTTTCTGACCGCAGCCATGGATCTAACACGCGATCAGGTAGAAGCAGCGGTCTGTGCTTTGAGACCAGACCTAATCTTTTTCGATTTTGCTTATTGGGTTCCAGAAGTGGCGAAAGAACACAGAGTCAAGAGTGTGTTGTACTTTGTGGTATCGGCTAACTCCATAGCTCATGAACTTGTCCCAGGTAGTGAATTAGGAGTATCTCCACCGGGTTATCCTTCGTCAAAAGTGGTGTACCGTGAGCAAGATGCTCACGCCTTGTTTTCCTTTTCCATGTTCTTCGAGAGGCTTTATCACCGGATAACAACAGGTCTAATGAATTGTAATTTCATTTCAGTAAGGACTTGCAAAGAAGTTGAAGGTAAGTTTTGTGACTATATCGAGAGTCAATACCAGAGGAAGGTTCTTTTGACAGGTCCAATGCTTCCAGAGCAAGACAACAGTAAAGCACTTGAAGATCGATGGAGTCACTGGCTGAATCAGTTTGAACCCGGCTCTGTAATATATTGTGCATTGGGAAGTCAAATCAAACTGGAGAAGGATCAGTTCCAAGAACTCTGTTTAGGAACAGAGCTTACTGGTTTACCGTTTCTTGTAGCGGTAAAGCCACCAAAAGGCTCAGAGACAATCCAAGAAGCGTTGCCAGAAGGGTTTGAGGAGAGAGTGAAGAATCGTGGAGTGGTTTGGGGAGAATGGGTGCAGCAACCATTGATATTGGCTCATCCATCAGTAGGCTGCTTTGTGAACCATTGTGGGTTTGGATCAATGTGGGAGTCTCTAGTGAGTGATTGCCAAATAGTCTTGCTTCCATATCTATGTGATCAAGTTCTCAACACGAGACTGATGACAGAGGAACTCGAGGTTTCGGTAGAAGTCCAAAGAGAGAAAACAGGATGGTTCTCGAAGGAGAGCCTCGGTGATGGACAAAGATAGCGAGGTAGGGGGTCGAGTGAGGAGGAACCACACAAGAATGAAGGAGATTTTGGTTAGTCCTGGATTATTAACCGGTTACACTGATAAATTTGTTGAAACTTTGCAGAATCTAGTTGATTCAAATCTGGAATGAAATACTTTGTAAAGAAGTATACGTACGTAGTAGCTGTCACAAATAAGGAAATAAGAAACTAGACCATGACGAAGTCGTCGTGGATGTGTTTTGTCTTTTTTCTCGAAGTTGTAATAGATTTGATTTTTGTTCAACTTTTGTCTTTTACTATAAATTCATCAACTCGTTCCGGTCCAAATGAGCAAAGCAAGAATGCGATTTTTCTTTCATAAATAAAGACTTTGGAAATTGGAATTGGCTAAGATATATGTTATACTGATAATGTCAAAATTAATTGGACCATTAAGCACACGATACAAAATCTTGATTTGTTTACTTAGATAAAATATGAAACTAGACCATTAAGTATTTTTGGGTTCTGGTGTTATATATACAACATTGCAATTCTTGATTCCAATTTCTTATAATTTTATAATTGTAGTATGAAAATGAAGAAAAATAACCTCTTTGTATTTAGTGAATGCCTGAATGACTTTAATTACAGATTTTAGATATATTCAGACAACAAGAAACAGATCAAACGAAAAACAGAGACAAGACTATATATTGGAATCTTGTCTTTGTCGAAAACAGAATCAGACCCATGAGGTTGATGAAGATCCATGTCCATTGCTAACAAAACAAGCGTAAAGCTCGTCGAAGACAACCACTTGATCATCTTGCCCTTCTTCTTCACAAGAACCAAGATAAGAATTATCCGCAGGTGAACCATGACTCCTTAACAGAGCAAGCTGATTCCTCGATCTTTTCAGCTCATCTTGGAGAAACTGCACTTGACGCTCTAACTTTGCCTTGTCGGAGAGAGCTGCTTCGAGCTTGGACTGAAGAGTGCAGTGTTGGAGCTCGAGAGCCTGAGTCTTGGACCTGGCTCGTTTGTTTTGGAACCAGACTGCCACTTGTCTCTGAGGTAAACCTAGCTGGTTCGACAGTTGAATCTTGAGATCTGGCTCGAGTTTCTTGTTCACAGTGAAGCATTTCTCCAGTTGTCTTACTTGCTCTTGTGTTAGCCTCTTTTTCTTGTTTCCGCTCTGACTCTCACTCTCAGAATTCTCCATCTCTCTCTCTCTCTCTCTTTTTGTTGTGCTATGTACAATGTTGTGGCTACGGATGCTACTTATACACACACACACACATATATTTTAACAATGAGGGTGTTTTATGTAAAAAAAAAGATAAGCAAACAAAATTAACTCAAACTTTGTATATAAATCCATAACAATACAAGTTCGAAAATGTATCATTTTCTAAAACAAGTTCCAATAGTGGTTCACCATCTAGTAGTAAGTTAACTAGCTTATGCAACTCTAGTAAAAACCTATTTTACAAAATGGATAGTAAAGATTAACACAAAATTTGAAGTCGGTTTATATAGAAGGGGTCATTTGGGAATCAAAGCTATGGGGCCGAAAGGCCCACTTAACAGTGCTTAATGAATTGGGACTTACTATTCTGATTAATTAATTGAAATAAGTTCGTTGATTAACAAGTATTTTTCTCAAATACATGCATGTATTCACGTGGGCTGGTCGTATCCTACCTACTTAAATTTAATAACATTATCATCTAAGCAAAATGTTTATTAACTTAAAGTACGAACCTTTTTTATTTCGGTTCTCTTTGAGACAATGCATCTTGTTTTAAGAGTTCTTTCATTTTCATATCAGAATCGTAAGAACACTTTATAACCCTTTTGAGATACGAAACTATTCTGTAATCCTGATCAATTCTTTTATTTCAAGAAGTGTAATAATCCTGATCTTATTACAAGAAAGCTAATTTTATATCAAAATTTATAAATAAATAAAATATATAAAACACTATACTGTATATGTGTTTTCGAATTACATTTTGATCATGTATAGAATTCAACTATGTGGTTGGATATTGAGTTTTGGCATGTCTGAGATAGAAACATTTGATTCTTTTAAAAGCTTCTTCGATTGAAGTTGCATCTGCCGCAAACGTTATCCTCAGCCAGTTCTTCAGCCCCACGGCAGTCCCTGTTCAGCCACATCCAATCCACATATATATCAAAAAAGGACCAGTCTTATAATTTCTATACAAGAGACTGAATATAAAATAGCCTTACCGGGAAGAAGGATGACTGATTCTTCTCTAGCTAACTTGAAACAGAAGTCGATATCATCGCTTACATCTTCGAGTAATGAGAGATTCAGCTTAACCTGAACGACAGTACACAAATCAAATGTTTAAGACCATAGATGTGTGTGTAACAATTTGTGTTACATTTTTTCACAATTTTATAATATAGATGCTCACCATCATTGCCATGGATCCTTCTGGCCGATGCGATGAATCAATGCAAGGGATCTCCTTGATCCAGTCACAACAGATATCCGAAGAGTTCTTCAACGAGTTCAAGGTTTTCTTGAAGAATGATTCATCCGTCTGTTCTAAAATCGTGGGGACTGCAGCCTGGTGCAACACAATCAAGAACAAGATTAATTACTCAAAGATGATCAGAAATATTTTGAAATCTAAGTAACATATATAATATAACATACCTGAATAAATGTAGCTGGTCCACCAAGAATATCAAAGTATTTTTTAAACCGCTCAATGATCTAATCCAAATGAACAAATTTTCAGTAAGTAAACAGCTTATTTTGCACTCTCTGCATCATCAGTTTCAATAAAGACTGAAGCTATTACTAACCTTAGGGTCCTTAAACGAGCCAGAAGGATCAGTTGTCACGAACCACCCGAGCCGCCAACCAGGAACTATCCACCTCTTTGATAAAGAACCAAGAGTAAGTACTGGAACAATAGATCCAAACACACCCATTGGCACAAACGGTTTGCTCCCGAAAGCAAGATGACCATAAACTTCATCAGCAATCACAAGAAACCCGAGTTTTTTCGCTGTTTCCGCAATCTGTAGCACAAAATAAGGAAAACACAACTTTGAATACATCACAATCTCAAAACAAGAAACAACATTAGTTACAGAACTCTCAAGCTAACCTTCATCAAATGGTGGTAACTATAGACATTCCCACAAGGATTACCAGGGTTTATAACAACCAAAGCAACCGTGTTTTCGTCTGCAAGAGACTCGACAGCATCAAGATCGATCTCCCATCCGTTTTCTGGAAGAAGATCGACGTAGCGAACCTCGAGGTGTCTAAACTTAGCACAGAGCTCATAGATTGGGAAACCAGGTCTTGGAAGAATTATATTAGCCCTAGGACGAGCCAACATAGCCAATGCTACATCAATCGCTTGCGTGCAACCCGATGTAACAAAGACATCATCCTGTGACAGTTTGTATGGAAGATCACGTGATAGATACTCCGCGATTGCCCTGTTTTGTTACACACAACACAAAGTGTGAGAGACTTGATTTGCAAGTTTTAGTCTTTTTCATTGTTTGCTTTTTTTCTCATAAAATTAATAAAATGAAAAATACAGCAAAGACTCCGTTACAATCAAAAGGCTTTAAAACAAGTCATGAACCAAAAAACCGTTTTAAACCAATAGCAACCGAACCAATAAATGAAGGCATTGATAATAAAAATGACTAAAATAAATCAATAAATTCGAAAATTAGTGAAGCAAAATTAATTATTACATTATTTATAATTTTTCATATTTAAAAAAAAAAGTTAATAAGTTTCTTTCGATTTTTTTTTTCTTTCGAATTTAATTTGCCAAAAACGTTGGTATTTTCTACTAAATTTCATCATTAATCAGATTTTCTAGAAACTGTAAAATTCATTCATCACATCAGCCAAAATTTAAAATTCGGTTCAATTTACCAACCAGTAAAATTTTGGTTCAATTTATGATTTCGGTATAGTTAAACCAACAGAATATGAGACATCTCTACCCTAAAACAGCATCGCCACCACACGTACCAAGCGAGAAAAAACACCAAAAAAAACAGAGAGACAAAGCGAAAAGACGAAACTAACCTTCGGGCTTGGGGAAGACCGACGGTGGGAGCATAACCATGGAACTTATTGGACAAAAGAGAATCCGAAACAGCTTGAAGAGAGACTTGCGTTGTACGAAAACACGAATACAGAGTTGGGTCTCCCATTCCAAGAGATATAACTCTCTTTCCTTCTTCTTCTGAGATGCTTTCCATTAGCAAACTCAGAATCCCTTTGATCGTGATTGTACTCGTCGTCGTCGTTGCTCCATTCTCCATCTCTTCTTGAAATTTCTTGTTTCGGTGCAACTCGTAAAGAGGAAGAGGTGGTTTTGGGTTTGATGTGTGTGTGTGTATTTGAGAGTGAGATTTGCCAGATTGGAGAAGGAAAGATATAAGAAAAACAATTTGTGGTTTATTTTTGTTTACAACCACTCATTTGTCTCTCCTTCGTATTTAACATTATTATTTTATAGGACTTTTAACCCAAAGTCTTTGTTTTCATTACCGAATCGGACTAAGTTTTTTTATAATTGTGTAATTTATACCCAAAGTAGGAGATAATGGTAGCTGTAATTATGGGTTTCATTACAGAATTGCAAAGAAGTCAAAAGATATTACATATTTCTTAACTATATATATGATAGCTGTAATATGTGATTTAATATTCTTAAGATTTTTACCCTTTTTTTTTTTGACAAGTTAATACTCTTAAGATTACTATCTTTTTACAACCAAAAAAAAAAAACATATTTATGTGAGGCCACATGAATCACATTGCCTCATGAATCACATTGCTTCACATACATAATGTGATGATGGTAAATTAAATATATATTGATTACAAAACCTTATAAATTTTACATATTGCCATTATTTTCATATATTAAACCAACGTTTTTTTTTTTTTTTTTAATCTTGATGGACTGTGAATTCAGAGTAAAGGTTGTAAGCTCGGAGAATTTTGTATTTGTTGGTTTTTATCCAACTCACGGGTGAATGATTCAGAAGTATAAATTACATCTTACGCTTCACGGGTGAATCAGAAATTTAAAGCACACACGCATATAAAGTCGTAATTTCTGTTAGTTTTCTTACGAATTTCAGATAAACATCGCAGCCAATAACGAAAAAAAAAAGAGACTACTCATCAAACATGTTCTAATCCCCGATGATCGATGGTTATGGACGTCGGCCTATAGACTAAAATATCTATGCGACCGTTGATAAATCATTCAAACCCAAAAAACCTTTTAAAAAAAGAAACGGACCATACCATCTTTATGGTAGATAAGATTATTTGATATTTATTGTGGTTTTGACGAACGGAACGATGAAATGGCCACGTAGGTAAAGACGAAGCACAAGATAAAACCAAAAAGGTATACTACCATTTGTGAATTGTGAAGATGAGATGACTTACACCGTACGTATCTACCAAATCTTTACGTGTCCTTCTTTTTTGGTACGTAAGCTTCCATTTGTCATCTCTTCCACCTCACCTCACCTCTCCTAAACTAACAAAACGGAGAAATATATGTTTTCTCGCCGTTCGTATTCGTCTTCAAATCGCTGTCCGAATCGAGACGACGCCGACAACTCATCTAATCGATGTTTTCTAATGACGATGATGTAATATGTTTCAATTTCACCACGCATTCTTCATGTGTATATTCTATTATATACTAATTAAGATTTGGTTTGGTTTTCAAACTAAATATGATAAATATTGCAAATGTGTGATGAATGTTAATATGTTATATATATTGGCATATATATACGATGAGGCCTAAAAATTATAAAACAATTTCAATTGATACTCACAAATTGTGATAGATAAAGGTGTGACGAATGTTATATTGGCATATATATATATATAACATAGCCCAAAACTACACCTAAGAAGATATGTAAAAATACGGGTATATACGAATACTGCAAGAGTAAGACCTAGTGGAATCTAAGTTGTAGTTCCAGTTTATTTACTTTTTCCATGTTAAAGAACTTCTATACCATTATGCCGCATAGGAAGAATGTGACTCTGCTAGCTTGTATAAAATATAAGATTTCCCCCATGATTAATCAGGTATTTAATTTGTATATATTATCTCTTAACAAATCTTAGGAGACCAACAACAATGATGGCCTTAGGTTATATCT